ATCTTATCCAGACTGAGTAGATGGACAACTTAAAGTTTTGAAAAATATCACTATAATAATTTTATTATAACAAAAGATAGTGAAGTATCCACCTCTTTGGAAAGAAAAGAAGTGATAAATATCGAATAGATCTATGTATCGAATAGATAGCAAAACTGTTACCGTAAAAAAGCGTTCTTTAAGAGCCCTAACCACTAATAATGCATAAGATGTTGGATGTACAGATATGTTTATTAATTTTTATAACTCAAACACAAAATAACTTTATTAAAATAGGTAACCAAGTACACTTATGAACGTCGATAGAAAAGATGTTAAATTGATTCTAATTTTACGTTTACTACCAGTTCGCATGTCAAGGGCGTAGAGCCGGCGAGAACTAGCAAGAAACTTTCCGCCACTCTTGTTAATCGCTAAGTTTTGAGTCATACAAATTGTTTGAACTGGAGCAAATCAATCCCAAGGATTAGGTTCATTTAAATAATCGTCAAAAAGTATACTATAAACAAAATATTAACACTATTATAGCCTCCGTCTTTGGTTGTGTTATCTCTTAACCAATAACATAATTAAATGTTTCGTAATTGTGGCATGAAACAGTGCTGCGTTACTTCCATAGCACGTTAACCACTAAGCCAAAAGTGAAAACATTTACCGATACTAGTTAACAGGCCATGACCGGAGGCTTCTTGTTAACAAATGCGTTGATAAATAAAAAACAGCACATCCACGTCGGTTTCTAATACATTTTTGATTATTTCTGTGTAAGAGATATGCCATTCGTTAGCGTCGCTACGGGGAGGTAGGTCAGTGACGCGACTCCGAACGAGCGTGACAGCACGGAATTGCCTGCAGTTACCGCGAGACACGTTGCCATGGATACGGTGAATTAAAACCATATACGTATTTCATATATCTACATATATAAAAATGTTATGTAGGTTTGTGTACGCTTTAAAAACTCAAAAAGTTCTGCACCGATCGAGCTGAAATGTATTTAGCATGATATATCAAGGATTGTTTTTATCTGTTTTATTTATCTTTTTTTTTCCACAAGTATTGCTAAATTAAACTTATATGAAATGTATTCTTTGTTTTGTTTCTCATTTCTCAACCATTCAATCACAATGTGCCAGAGCGAAGCGTGGTAGGGTACAGCTATTTTATTATATATAATCGGTTCAATAAAATAATAATACTGAATAAATAAAAAAATAGTAAGTAATAATGATAATAAAACACTCAAATTAATCATTCTTGAATCTGGATACACTTATAATTGAACTTAATTATTTTTATTGTTAAAACTTTTTTAGGTTAACCAATTAAACTAATTTTATGTTCCTCTCTGACGGTAGTTTTGCTTTGCATTCCCTAGACAATCTAACTTTTAAAACGCCTACCCAGAAAATTGAATTCTATCAATCCTCCTTTAGTGAGCAAAATTGATATCAGACGAGCTCAGTCTTTAAATTTATTTAAAAATCTTTTTTTTATAATTTTTCTGCTGCATGCATTGGATTAATTGTGACACGATTAACCATTGGATTAGCTTTTACGTTTTTGTTTGTACATTTTTTTCTTTAGATTTTACTTTATTTTAGTTATTGGTAGTGTTAAATGTTATTTTGGGGTTTTTTTTGTTAATTATTTATGCACTTCTTGTACTTTACCCTCTGTAGGTGTTTATTTTGTTCCATATTAGGGTTGCCTGGAAGAAATCGCTTGATAGCGATAAGGCCGCCCGTTGCCTAATAACTTATGTAACCTGCTTTTTTTATATGTATGTTTTTGTATAAGGTAATAAGGTAATAATAAACGAAATGAATAAACTGTCTGGCTGGCTTTTTCTTCGCACTTTTTTGTATATATTACAGGGGGCAAACGGGCACTAGGCTCACCTGATGTTACCGCCAGTTCTAATACCAATGACGTTGAACGGAAGAGAAGAAACGCCGTTACTGTTATTTGTGTTTGTTGCTGATTTGAATCCCTTTCACGCCTTATCTATGTACACAAATTACATCGAATTATAAACATACTACTTCCGGTTTTAAAGTCGATTAGAAAACAATGAAACCAAATTTGCCGCATCAAATGATTCGTAGATCTTATTGCGGCTAGATGTAATCAAACGAACTGTGACACAGTGCTGCGGGTTCCGATAAAACTCTAAAAAGTTTTTATAGCATTGACGTTAGACAAAGTGTCTCCGTTTACTTACAGATTATATTCCTGTTATATCTATACTTATTTGGAATAATCTGCTTCCCCTAAACTATTTTATCGAAAATAAATTAATATTTGGGTTTCAGAATAAATATTAGTAATGTGGCCTTTGAGTTCCGCCCATTGACAATTTTAATTGTGCAACGGAAGGGAAACCTCTATTCCGTTAGGCTTTTTGAAACCGCACAATAGTGTTGCTATGTGTACACTCAAGACGTAATAAACACTGAAATTACGAAAATGACACGAAATTTTAAAGAATATGCTTTGATATAAAGCCTCATAGAGCAGCGTTGGTCTAGTAGCTTCAGAGTGCGACTCTCGTCCCCGAGGTCGTAGGTTCAATCCCAGGCTTTACACAAATTGACTTTCTATGTGGGCATTTAACATTCGCTCGAACGGTGAAGGAAAATATCGTGTGGAAACCGGCTTGACATAGACCCAAGTAGTCGACGGCGTGTGTGAGGCACAGGAGGCTGATCACTTACTTGCCTGTTAGATTGGCAAATGATGATAAAACATATACAGAAATCCAGACCTAAAAAGTTGTAGCGCCACTGATTTATTTTATTTTATAAAACCTCATAGAGAACATAACCACTCAATTTTATGTCGGTTAATAAAAGATGAGTGGTCAAATGTCGAACCCCGAATACTGCGAGAGCAATGTTTCACGCCATGATCTATCGAAGCAGATTAATTGCCTTTTTGACGCTAGCACGAGTTTTACTTGCAAATTGTGATATTGGACGATTTATCAAACGCCAATAGAATTTATACTGTTAGAACTAAAGCTATTTTAGCCTACTGATAACAATATATGGTTTATATTGTATATATGAAAGGTTGAAACATTCGTTAAATCTAAATAAATTTAAGATTATATTCGCTATAACGATCTCCTCGGGACTTTAATGACTACAACACCAACTACATTCCAAGTCGCAATAATAATCAAAAAGATTGCTAGAGCCCACGAACAAAGGCTCCACCATCACGTGAATTTTGAGGCTATTAGACACCACGGGCCTAGTGAGAACATTGAAAAGGAAACACCATTTGAATAAGTGTTAGTGCACGTTAGTCTTAAGTGCTAAACAGTGGTAATTGAAAAATTAGAACACAAGAACAGAGTGTCTACCCTTTAATAGAGACTGTAAGTTATTGGAGACGTTTTTATGTTAAATATCCTTATTAGTAAATTATTAGGTTAGACTTTAATTACTTATCTTAATTAAGATAGGCTAGATCGAAATGTTTTATGATGTCTCAGTGAATACACATGTATTTAAAAAAATAAACGATATTTAAGTTAACCTGACAAGGGATCTCTTAGCGAAGCTTTTGGATTGTAAAATTCAAAAATCGAAATTCAAAAATCATTTATTCATATTGGTAACAAAATGTACACTCAAGAATAAATATATTATATGAAATGCTTCTAATTTTACAATTACTTCCAGTTCTCAAATCAAAGGCGTAGAGCGGACGAGAAGAACTGGCAAGAAACTTTCCGCCACTCTTTTTAATCGCCGAGTTTTTTTTTACACAATGTTTGTTAGGAGCTGCAACCATTACCCCATGTTCCACATGACATCTTAAATTATTAATAGCTAATTAATAATAATAAAATAAATTAAAAACAAAGATTTGTCCTCTATCAGCAGGGGGCATGGTGAAATAGGAGCACGCACTTAACTAAGAATAAAATCCCAGACTTAACTCGGGCCGTCTAAGCCGTGGTGGCCACGCTGCGTTTGCAAAGCGAAAGAAGACAAAACAAATTTGTAAAAGTGAATTGTAAATCTAGAATTTTGAAAGAAAATCTCATTTACAGCTATAAAACAATTCTGTTCTATAATTACTATAGAGGTAGCGTAGTTATTTCTAAATTTTGTTATTATAACTATACTATAAAAACATGTGATACAAAATAACTGTAGTCCTTCGTCAGTAATGAAAACTATTTAAGGTGCCTTTCCATTCCACCTTTACCCTGTTTAAAAGAATTCACAATTATTTAATACTCAAGTCTAATTTTAGATATGACTCGTTGCTTTTTTTATAGAACAGCCCTGCGATTCTGTAACTCACTTTTCGAACTCACACAGCGGTTTTCGCATTGGCGGTCGCTCTGAAATCAGTCGTGAAGCAGTCATTTTATGATTTGGCATTCTAATAAACAATAAACCACAAGCGGGGACCTTTTCAGAATGCCAAATCATAAAATGACTGCTTCACGACTGATTTGAGAGCGACCGCCGATTCTAAAACCGCTGTGTGAGTTTGAAAAGTGAGTTACAGAATCGCAGGGCAGGACGCAAACAAACAAATCTACACATCTACCTATATACATTTTAAATAAATAAATATTAGGTCCTTACATATGAAATTGGCGTATTTCGTACTGGCCACTTTAATCACGATGTTCTCCTCTTTGGTAAGGAATTCCAAATTCAAATTTGTACAGCTATTTACTCATGTATTTGTGCTTCGATGACCGTCATTCATTTGTTTTTTTTCTTTATGCGTCACTCATTTTACAAAATGAACTTTGATTAATTAAATATATCATATTTAAAAATATTCGACTTTTTGTTCCTCCCATACAAAACGCCAATTTCATATGTAAGGACCTCATATATATTTTTGGAAGCGTATTCACTATTTTAACACTAATTTATACTGCGTTTCAAATTCTTCCCACGAAATATGAGATTTACGGTAAGCTATGTTTCGAACCGTTTCTTTACCTCGTGTTTGGGAATACCTCAAGCTACGTGAGAGCGAATAAATTCCTTTTTGTCAACAACACCATTGTCCACCACTTCGTCTTGAAGGAAGTTCACTTTGCAATAGAGTTTCTGCCGCTCTTCTTTTTTATCTTCGGCACTCCACACTTCTATCCAATTCTCTTTATTTATTCTATCGTCTATTTCTCTAAGACTTTTTCCATTTGCTTCTTTCTTGAAGTCCTTTATGCTGAGCATAAAGGAAATCTTTTTCTTCAATAGTTAAACATGACATTATATATAAAAAATACTTGAGAATTGTTTGTCTAAATTACAACACTACCTTAACTTAGCAGAACAAATGTCCTTTTTTCATTTACTCTTTATATCCGTAGAGATAAATACGTGGAGATAACTCGTGTCAAATAAAAGTGAATACAAGATAAAATATCCAATATCAATTGAAGTTTTTTTTATAATCTTGTTTATAAAAAACTTCGATTTGACATACAGAAATGTTCAACAAATAAAACCACATGTACTTATTTAAATAAGTGTATTTTTTTAACTTTATAAAAAATTATGATAATATAATAATTTAAGCAAAATATTTTGTTCTAAAGTCTATCCGGTAAAAAAATTCAATGTACCAAAAATGTAGTTCCCGGGGTCATCAATATCGTCAGACAGGAAGAACTCTTTAAAAAGTTGTGAAAACTCATCAAAGTTGAGACTGCTCTTGTCCTCCGCCATCGTCTGGAAAGCGTTGACGGCTTCTTCTTTCGTGCCTCCGAAGATTTCGTGGACATTGACAAACTCCTCTTCGTCTATAACACCATCACCAGTCTTATCTAGGATGTGGAAGCAGACCTTGCAGAACAGGTTGTTCCATTCAGGCAAGGTCTCTGTGTCCTGGAGGTCCCACATTTTGATCCACTCATCGGTGGATACTTGTCCATCACCGTCAACATCAGCTGCCTTAAATCCATCCCATATCTGGTTCTTGATCTCCTCGCCGTCCGTTTCCTTCCATCCTAGCTTCTCCAAGGTTTTCTCAAAGTCTTTTTTTTCGACGGCGCCACATTCGTCGGCGTCGAAGAATTTTTTGAAAGCAAACTGCAGCTTTTTTATTCTCAGGTCGGACATCATTTTTATTGAAATAGTTTGATGTGATTAATAATCATTTTAGTTGTAAGACCTTATTTATATGAATTATTATCTCTTGATAACATATTACAGGTATAGTGGATGGTGTTATCCACTCATTTTGTTAGCAATAAAATGATTACTAATAGATTACTCATAATGCTAGTACAAAATAAGGAAAAGTGAAACAGAATAGTTTCTAAGAATACACGATGAATACATGCATTCATTAATTCTTAATCGAAAGAAAATTTATATATTTAATTACAGAAATACATACATTATCCTTAGAGACTATGCTAATACGATAATGTCGAGAAAAAATTAAATATAATAAAGTAAATATTATTTGTTTAAAAACATAATATACACAATATCGCTACGGCGAATTCACTCTGCAAACATATAAATAAATGTCGATAGTGTCGGAGACAGCATTCAGTAGGCGCAACGTCTTTGATAACGGGGATCTGTGCAACAGACTGATCGCACATAACCCATAGGTATAAATGTCTAATACTTTCAAATATGTTAAATTATATTAATAATTAATTAAATATATTAAAAAATATGATATATCGAATTACTGTTCACTAATAAAATACAGACGAAAAATGATAGTAGGTAATCATGCCAACTGATTATTTTTGCTTCGAGGAAAAAAGATAACATTTGAACATGATATCATTGTTTACAACTTGGTAAAATGTGCAAATTCGAAATAACGTTTTTTTATTCAAACGTATATTTAGTAACTCAGGTTTATTTTACACCATATTAGAACTTATATGGTACAAATATGCTAATCAGGTGAAACTCCTGGCCTTTTGCCCCCTATTATATATAAAAAAAGATTTTCCCGTTTCCAGACACCATATTCTTTAAGTACCTGAGAGTACTTAAAGTTTGTGTATTTGAAGTTTTTCTATTTTTTCTTGTAAGTCAACGATTATTGAAAGGTCATTTAAAAGAATAGTAAAAAATAAAACATTTTATTTTTTTAGTACGTGACCTTCAAAGCGTTATAACTTTTTCTAAATGAAAGATTAATACAATTATTGTATTATATAAAAAGGCTTTGTGTAGATTTATAAATTCGAATCACTTAATTATTTATTTATATTCGTTGGGCCGTTCGTAGCAAATATTATATTCGTATTTAATTAAGGATTCTAATTTATTGCGACTACATAAGCTGTTAGCTACCGAAAATAAAATAATAACATACGAGTTATCATATTGTATATTATGTTCTATACTTAATTTTAATTTTTTAGATTGAGCCCTATACATTAAGCCGTAGCTATAGTAAGGGTATAGTAAGTTGACAGATAGATCGCATCTTGTAAAAAAAATATTATTAATATAGCCATGAGGGGTCTAAAAACGCCTACAAAAAAGGTTAAGCAAGAGTTCGGCACGTATAACTAATCACAACATTGCATTGTAGGCGTTTTTAGACCCCTCATGGCTATACTAATAATATTTTTTTATAGGCTTCTGAGACTTATTTTAAAGTTTCTTTGCTCAGGTAGAAGATAGGTAAGAAATATGTATTAAAACGCTATCACTCAAAGATTCTTAGAACCCAATAAAATGATAGTGGTCAGCCAACCTGACATCAGAATGGCTGGCCACTTTATTGTGTCGTAGTCGACACAAGTCGTTACAATGAATTGTTTAATTAAGAATAAAATCTCAGACTTAACTCGGGCCGTCTAAGCCGCGGTAGCCACGCTGCGTTTGAAAAACGAAAGAAGACAAAACAAATTTGTAAAAGTGAATTGTAAATCTAGAATTTTAAGAGAAAATCTCTTTAACAGCTATAACACGATTATATTAAGAGATTATATTTTAAAAATACTTTAGACGTAGAGTAGTCTAGTCTAGTATTTTTAAATTTTGTTATTATAACTATACTATAAAACCATGTGATACAAAATAACTGTATTCCTTCGTCAGTAATTAAAACTATTTAAGGTGCCTTTCCATTCCACCTCTACCCTGTTTTAAAGAATTCACAATTCTTTAATACTCTAGTCTAATTTTATTCCTGACTCGATGTTTTTTTTTATAGAACAGGACTCAAACGAGCTGGAAGCTCAGCTGATGTTAAGTGATACCGCCGCCCATGGACACTCACTTTGCCAGAAGACTCGCAAGTACGTTGCCAGCCTTATAAGAATTGGTACGCCCTTTTCTTGAAGGATTGGTTTGGAAATACTTCAGTGGACAGCTGGTTCCACATAGTGGTGGTGCGCGGAAAAACTTCTGTCTCGTATAAATAGGATCAACGTGTCTGGGGAATGTTGTTATTTGTTGCACAATCTTACAAAGTTTAGATCGAGCAAAGTATATGCTTGAAACAATAGAACCTTATTAAAGCGTAGTCTCTAAAGTAATCACTTCTTTGTAACAAATGTTCGGGAGATCATGTAATTAAGGGGGTAGATTTTAACAGCGATTACGCTTAATAACGTGGTCATAAATATCCCTGAAGCCACTCTTGATACAGCCACAAACGGTCTGTAACGTAAAGTGGACTAAGAAATATACTTACGCGTTTTAGCGTGTAATAATTTAAAAATGGCTTTGCTATATATAGTGTATGTAAGTAATGGTAATTTAAAAGTTAGTTTGAATTAATTCAATTAAAATTCAAATAAAAAACTAATATTGTGTATGTGAACAGTCATTGAAGATGAAGAACGTAGCTGATTCATTTATAAAATCTATGTTGCGAAGTATGTATACGACTATACAATGAGTAGTTGTATAAATTTTTTTTGACTTAAAGCCGCTTTTTATCCCTTATTCCACCTTGTACCTGCCCCAAGTCGGAACTCGAGCTATAACTCGTCATAATTAGATCTCATCGTGCTATAAAATGTCCACTTTTATTCATTACTTCCTTAATTCTTTTTATATAATATCCTACTAATGTTTTTGGTAACTCTTATTCAAAATGATGACTTTGTGAAAAGATTGTTTTCGTGACGAAAAATCTTGCCGACAACAAGACGTGATTGTTTAAAAAGTTACGGATCGAATCGTGAGACACGGAAAATTAAGCGATCCAAAATTTAAGACCACCCGATGTTTTATCCTTTATGTAATTTGCATTACACTTTAGATCGATTTAACTAAAAATAGCACTGTATTTAATCTATGCAACGTAGATAAAACGATATGTCATCTTTTTATAGGTGAAATATTATTTTCGTAAAAGTACAATGAATATACAGAATGTATTAACAGATGTCAAGACAAATGTATCAAAATATAAAACAGATGAGCCAATCTAACAACAAAAAAAACTAAAATAGATCCAACCACATCACCCTCGATACTTTCGACGGAAAACAATTTTTCTTTGAAATATAGTAGATAGATAGATATGGGAAAAATACATTTCAATAATATTTAAAAGTCGAAGTTCGAAAAGAATCCAGACGATAGGAAGTAAAAACCGGAAACTTTTATTAAAATCTTCTTGCAGTTAAAAATAACGTAAAACTATGAGGGAAATGCATCCAAACTATTTAACAATATTTTCTTTAAAATTTTCCTATTCTAGTTACTTTGAAAAATTCATTAAATTTTGCCTTTTAGCCCATGCATCTTAATTAGAAATTACTGTTTTATTACATTCATATTTTGCTAACAATGATTGGCCTAATTACATTATACCGTAAAGGCATGTAAGACTTTTAACAATTAAATTTTATTTTTTACAATACAAACTTATGATGTAACATTCCTATAGGTATGACTTTTGTTATATAAGCAAGAACGCGAAAATTAATACTACACTGATTTTTTTAAATTCTATAAGATAATATTAGATAAGATATGACTGACGTGTTTCATTATCAAAGAATAAGATAATAAAGTCAATTTTTTAAATTATTATTAAAATATTAAGTTGTCGTTTGTTTAATTTCAGTTTTTTTATCTATTAATATGCTTATGTTGTCATACATTTTGGTTTTCTTTTATATATGTATATAGGTAGATTACAAATAAATAAATAAATATCTCTTTGGAAGTGTATTCACTATTTTAACACTAATTTATACTGCGTTTCAAATTCTTCCCACGAAATATGAGATTTACGGTATGCTATTTTTCGAAACGTTTCTTTTACCTCGTGTTTAGGAATACCTAAAGCTACGTGAGAGCGAATAAATTCCTGTTTGCACACAACACCATTGTCCACCACTTCATCTTGAAGGAAGTTTACTTTGCAATAGAGTTTCTGCCTCTCTTCTTTTTTATCTTCGGCACTCCACACTTCTATCGAATTCCCATTATTTATTCTATCCTCTATTTTTCTAATTCTTTTTCCATTTGCATCTTTCTTAAAGTCTTCTATGCTGAGCATAAACTTTTGTGACGCCTCGAAATCTTGCTCTTCAATAGTTAAACATGACATTATACAAAATATTTGAGTTTAATTTGCCTAAATATCCACACTACCTTAACTTAGCAGAACAAATGTCCTTTTTTCATTTACTCTTTATATCCGTAAAGATAAATACGTGGAGATAACTCGTGTCAAATAAAAGTGAATACAAGATAAAATATCAAATATCAATTGAAGTTTTTTTATAATCTTGTTTATAAAAAACTTTAATTTTGCATACAGAAATGTTCAACAAATAAAACCACATGTACTTATTAAAATAAGTATATTATTGTAAGTATATAAAAAAATTATGATTATATACTCGTAATAATTTAAGCAAAATATTTTATTCTAAAGTCTATTCGTTAAGAAATTTGATTGTACCAAATATGTAGTTCCCGGGTGCATCGGCATCGTCAGACAGGAAGAACTCTTTAAAAAGTTTTGAAAACTCATCGAAGTTGAGACTGCTCTTGTCCCCCGCCATCTTCTTAAAAGCGTCGACGGCGTCTTCTTTCGGGCCTCCGAAGATTTCGTGGACCTTGACAAACTCCTCTTCGTCAATAGCACCATCACCAGTCTTATCTTGGATGTGGAAGCAGACTTTGCAGAACAGATTGTTCCATTCAGGCAAGGTATCTTTGTCTTGGAGGTCCCACATTTTGATCCACTCATCAGTGGATACTTGTCCATCGCTGTCAACATCAGCTGCCTTAAATCCATCCCATATCTGGTTCATGATCTCCTTGGCGACGCTGAAGATAACGTCCGTTTCCTTCCATCCTTGAAGCCTCACTAGCTTCTCCAAGGTTTTCTCAAAGTCTTCTTTAGTGACGGCGCCACTTTCGTCGGCATCGAAGAATTTTTTGAAAGCAAACAGCAGCTTTTTCCTTCTCACGTCGGACACCATTTTAATTGAATTAATTTGATGTGATTAATAAATTACATTTTAGTTGTAAGACCCTATTTATATAATTAATTATCTCTTGATAAAATATAACAGACTTAATCGATGGTGTTATCCACTCATTTAGTTAGCGATAAAATGTGTATAATAGATTACTCATAATGCTAGTACGAAATTAAGAAAGAAGTGCAATTTAGATTTTATGCATTCATAAATTCTTAATCAAAATAAAATGTATTTATTTACAGAAATAAATACATTATCCTTAGAGACTATGCTAATACGATAATGTCGAGAAAAAATAAAATATAATATAATAAAGTAAATATTACATGCTTAAACACAATATACATAATATCGCTATTGTGAATTCACTCTGCAGACGTATACATATGTCGATAGTGTCGGAGACAGCATTCAGTAGGCGCAACGTCTTTGATAACAGGGATCTGTGCAACAGACTGATCGTAAATATACCATAAATGTCTAATAATTAATTAAATATATCTGGATTACTGTTCATTAATAAAATACTGACAAAAACTGATAGTAATCATGCCAGCCGATTATTTGTGCTTCGAGGTATTAAGATAACTGCAATCATTGTTTAAAACTTGGCAAATTATGTTTTTTTCTACAAATGTATTTTATTGAACTCTAGTTTATTCTTCATCATCTTATACTCCGAGATTTAAATACTCCAAGATTATACAACGAGCATATGAACGAAGAACTGTGGTATTAGTTATAAATATAAATCGTTACTTTGCCAGCATAATAACGAAAACTGTATAATAAGTTCATTAATTGATTATTAAAGGCCGGGAACGCTCTTGCGACCCTAAGCTAACCTAACCTAACATCAGATAAGCCTTCTAGTCTTTTGCCCTCTATTATATATAAAAAAAAAACAGTTTTCAGACACATATTCTTTTAGTACTTGAGAGTTGTGTATTTGAGGTTTTTCTATTTTTTCTTGTAAGTCAATTATCAGTGAAAGGTCATTTAAAAGAATAGTAAAAAATAAAACATTTAATTTTTGAATTGAAACTTCTTTATCGGGGTTGGAAAAAAATTTAGTGTAACATTTTTGCGTTACGCGTCATATTTTTTCGTTACGCGCCATGTTGCTTTTTGAAGTCAAACTTCTTTATCGGCGTTAAAATATGACATATAGTATGTTTTTGACTTTGAAGTTTGACAACGGATTACATTTTCGACTTGAAATTTGCTAATCGCAATTTGCAGCAATTAATTTGTAAATTGTATGCTAGGCAGTGTATCAAAATTTACTGTGTTTAAAGAAATAGTTTCTAATAAGGTCATAAAGAAGTTTCACTTCTTACGTGTGTACACCTAGTACACGCACACATTTTTTTTAGTACGTGACTTTCAAAGCGTTATAACTTTTTCTAAATGAAATATTAATATAATTATTGTAAGATTAAATAAAATATTATCTTTCTTTAAATTTCTTCTGTGACGAACAACTAACTGACGTGAGACTGATCTTAAATTAAATTATCATGATTCATGTGCACTTTTTACTTTTTATTTTTCATGTATCCTTTATTAGTTTGTTTTTTGTTCCTGTTTAGTTTTTTTTCTTAATAACTATATGTAATATGTATTGTGGCACTTCTTGCCTACCTTATTTAATTTATTACATTCTTTTTTCTTTTCTCACAGATGTTGCGTGGAAGAGATCGCTCGAAAGCGATAAGGCCGCCAGTTGCCTTTCTTTTCATTTAATTATGTAAAAATTTTATATTGTAATGCAACGAAGTGTTTATAAATAAATAAATAATAAATAAAATTAAATAAAAGTCTTTGTGTGGATTTATTAATTCGAATCACTTAATTATATTTATCTTCGTTAGGCCGTTCGTAGCAAATATGTTTTTAATTGAGCATTGTAACTTAATGCGATTACATACGCTGTCAGCTACCGAAAATATTAAAAACATAACTATGTATATTGTGTTCCATACTTAATTTTATAGTTAGATTGAGCCCTACACATTAAGCCGTAGCTTGGGTATAGTAAGTTGACAGATAGAACGCATCTGTCATGGTCCTCCACACACCCACTACCGACTAGATCAAGCAAGAAGAATGGATACGGTAGATAAACAATATATTAGTATTATTTGGAAAAAAATCTAATATTTCGACTTTATACAAAACTATTTAAAAATTAAATAAAGTGATCACTTTAGTATTTGTCTTTTATTGACATAACTTTCACACATTTGATAATAAAACAATTTTTGAAAGATTGAAGTTATGTATTTACAATTATTTTTCATAATTTTAAATTTAACCGACGTTTCGCGTGCTTTACAGCGTGCGTGGTCACGGTGACTGAAGACAAAAGGTGTTGAATGTAAAAAAAGTATCAGACAGCTGTAGAAAAAGTTGTATTATCTGTATTTGTTTCTCCGGAGTTGGTACCGACTAAAAGATGGAGGGTTTTGGCAGAAATGCCTCACGGTGTCCTCTATTTTCGCGGATTGTTTATCTTGAGATTTTAATTTGGATATTATTGGATCCCAGAATTACCAAAATTGTCAAAAACCTGGGATCCAATAATATCCAAATTAGAATCTCTGTAAATACATAACTTCAATCTGGTAAAAAATTTTTTTATTATCAAGTAATCACTTTGTTTACTTTAATTTAACAGAATATATATATATATGTATATATCAATAGTCTGAAATATATAATATGCATTGTAGAAAAAAAACTATGTGTAGTTGTTGATTTTTAATATTTGTTGTAAAAGCGTTACTAATAGCACTTAAGTCCAAAATAATCACTACCTTATTTACCATAGAGATTCTAAAATATTGTTTATTTGTTAATGTAAAAATATTTCTATTTCTTGATTGTTACATAATTATTTTAATGGTTTCATCAACTAAGGGAGCACCGCGTCCATTCTCTCGTATACGGTTGGCTAATGCGATAAAGAGAGATCTAATGGCGACAGAGCTGAACCCGGGCGAACGCCACTCATTTGCCAAATTGTCCCGGATTATAGAATTTTTTATCGCCCATTGCACTTACTTGATGCGGTTTATAGCTTCGTTGGAACTACGAGTTTATTGTGTGCTTTGGACAACATTTTTCTATAATTACTTTGCCACAGCTGCCACTAAATTTTCATTTAGGAATTGATGTGTTCACTATACTTATTTTCTAGTCATGTTTAAAATAAAAAATATACTACATTCTGACATTGTTTGTTTTGAGGAAGCTGTTATGAAAATGAAACTTTCATTTTATTATTATCTATATTTTAATCAGATACGAGTAAAACAAAACTGATCAATCGAACAAGACCGATGAAAAACTTACATAGATATTTGACACTTTTACTTCACTTAACATCTAAAAGCTGGTTTTTCCGAAGATGAAGTTACCTGCTGCATTAGCGTCTTCCGAGGTGAAATATGCCTTCCATAGGTCTTGGAATTCAGACCAGGAAACATTTGCTTTGCCCTGTGACATTTTTCTGAAGGCAGCGAGGGCGTCATCTTTGCTTAGACCAAAGGACGCGTACACTGATGAGAACTCTTCGCCGTCAATTGCTCCATCTCCACTCGCGTCTTCCAGGTTGAAGATGAATTTACAGTAAAGGTTTTGCCACTCAAAAGATCCTGACGGATTCTTGGCGTACTCATCCCACATCGAGACCCATTCGTCTACTGATATTTCCCCGTCTTTGTCACTGTCGGCCCTTCCTTGTAGGGCGTCCCATATCTTCATCAGTGAACTCTGAGTCTCCTTGTATTTAGCGTCACCGGGAGCCCAACCACGCAGCTTAGAAATATTCTCAACTGCTAGTTCAAAGTCTTTCTTATCAATGGATCCACTTCCATTCCTGTCAAAGAAAGATGTAAAGACGTGGAGCAGCTTCTTCTTTCTGAAGTCGGAAACCATTTTGACTGTTGTGTTATCTTGACTTTGTAATTAAGTGGTCCAGGATGTGAGAAGAAGCCTTTTATATGCCGAATTATTCCGCAAGATAATGGCTATCAAGATGCAAGCCTTGGGTGACGTAAACATCTCTTATCATTTTGATATCTACCTGCAATGCAGTAAATAATGATTCACTTCAGAGTAAGATAGGAAATAGAGTAATTAAATAAATTAAACTAGAACTCATTCGTAAATTAATTCATTTGTAAAGTATTTGCAATTTTGCTATTTATCTAGTAGGTAGTTGTAGGGTTACATACAGTAAGGTTATAAGACTAGGCTATTAAACTTAAAGGGGGACGTATAAGATGTACCTAAATCTTGAAAGATATGAGACACTGTATTATATATCTCTCTAATTAGAATATAGACCACCTATAGATAAAAAATATAAATTTCATTTATATTCTATGACAAACTGCTCTATGTTCAGTTTCGCTTTATTTACTTTATATCAAAATTGCATTAGCTATGATAATAGTGACAGACAGTGTGCTAAACCTTGTTTTAAACATTTGATGAACCTCGTTCTATTCAGAAAATTGATAATGAACTAAAAAAAACGTTTTTTATGTAAATCTTTTTTTAAGATTTAAATTACTGACATTATATATTTATTTATTTCATAATCGTACAGCTAACAACATATATATATAAAAATATTCACAAAAAGGTTCAAACATTTACAAAATGAATAAAAGTGATTCAATACATTTAACTAAGTAATACCAAATTTGGCTGTGATGTGTGATGGTGTAAAAGTGAGGGTATGTACGTGAAGGTGTGTATGTGGGGTATGCTCATGATGCAGGTGATTTTGCGCTATGGATATTCTTAATACTTATTTTAACCATATTCCGCGATAGCTAGGACCAATATTTAAGCCTTGACTTGTTTATCAAGGCTTAAATATTGGTCCTTGTATGTCCGGGCTGCGCGATACAAAACTGAGATTACGATAACTAAAATTCAGAGTTAGATCACCAATATAAATAAATAACCATTTTTCGAAATATTTAACCACCAAATATTTAAAGACAAATAACTATTTCTCGAATTTTTAAAATACTACTAAGTTGCTATATATAAACAAGTTACATGTCTTATTGTTTATCATTTCGGCGGGCTTAAAAAAATTGTAGCATTGGCCATTATTTCTGTAAAGTACTCAAAAGCTCGAGTTATGTAATTAATGCAAAATTCACGTTTATATTTTTGAAAGAAATATCTTTTTAAAGTCCCATAAAAATATTATATCAACATGAAAAATATGTTTGGGATTACTTTTCTAAGAATTCTTACGAGAAAGGACTCGAAGACATGTAAGTAAAACAAAGGACAAATGTGGACATAAAAATGTTCCGCCTCGGGGCGACTAACAGTCCCTTACGCGATGATATATTAAGAGAAACTGGTGTTGGACACGCAGGATCTTATGTTAACAATACTATATACCCTTAGTAGATATATCGTGTTATTTATAAGTAAGAAAGCTATGAAAAGCTAAACATGAAAAACTGAAATCCCGAAGACAAAAATCCCTCTTATACTCTTTTTGTAACTTTAGTTGTTGTATCTATCAATTATGCAGTGACGCTTTTACAAAAATGTTCGGAAGAGAAATTGGACCTAGAACACAACAATCTCAATTATTTGTTACACTTGAAGAGCACAAGTGGCTAACTACCCATTACCTTATAAGATATTTAACTACTTATCATTCAAATAGACTCAGAAAATCTGTAGTCTATCCGTAGCTAGGTAGTAAGTAGTTAGTATGTACCGATAAGTGTTCAACGTTTTTTTGCTCGTATTGTGAAGAGAAATATTGTCCAAATCGGTATAACATAGACCCCACAATCGTCAACATTGACCGTCTACTTGTCTCTAATAAATTATATATAAAAATAGCCAATATTACACGATACAATTGCTTATTAAACGGATGTGGCTATAGTCTACTATGCTTATTTGCGTCAATGTTATCGTTATTATTATTTGATAATCCCATTTGTGCAGCTGATAAAAAAACATATTGATAATATATTTATGTTACTTAATTTGATTTTCTTTACTTTTTATCTTCAGTAGCGATATTGTGTATATTATATGTTGAATATTATTTATTATATTATATTTAATTTTTCTCGACATTATCGTATTGGCATAAATAAATCTTTGTCTTTGTTGTCTAGGTGTATCCGAATATGTTTTTGCTACATCTGCATGCCTAAATTGCAAGCCTAATAAGCGCAACACAACTTTCACATTGAAGCTTTCAAATTAAGGAAATATGCAAATAATACCGTGAAGGAGAAAGTCTAATGAAAGCTGAGCTCGTACAAACCATACAAGTTCGTCGGTATGCCTCGATATTATGATCATTGTAACAAAAGACCCAACATACAACATCTCATACTTATATTAGTTATTTTCTAGACTAGATTACTGGATATGAATTCGTTACATAGTTTAACAATGCGAGATAATATACGGTAGGTAAATGATGAATTATGGTTATAGCACCTTTTTTCTGGCTACAATTTTGTTTCAAACTACAATATTGTCGCTCTTGATAACAATATTTGTATTATAAGATATAACGTTTATAAAGATAAAAACACAACTAAACATACAGCCGGAATTATATTATTTTATTGTTATATCGTTATAAATTATGTGTGAGATTTTTAACTCAAAAGATACTTTGAAATTCACAATTATGTTTTTGATTCTTCGCGCAATAATCATTTAACAATTTCGCATACTATGTATTATTCGTATGAAAGTGTTCTACATGTTAATATTTGGCCTTAGTAAGGTATATAGTAGGTATATATTATAACAGAGTCGCATCCAGAGGAGTAGATCTTTAGGATATTATTTTTAATACTGCACAATGCAGGTAGCGCTATGCCGTGTAAGACGACCTCGTTACGCCGGCTAATCCATGACTGCGCCGACATATTACTCGTTTCCTTTATACTTTTTCAGGTTGAGAATCGAAGTAACGGATTTTTTAATGTTCCATAATATTTTATCCCATTCAATTAAATCTATGTGAAATGAAATATGACGTCTGCTTCGTTAGTCATGTTTATAAGCAAGAAATTTTTAAATTTTTGTATGTACGAGACAATGTTTACATAAATATTTGGAAATATATAACAATATCAAACAGAGAATACTTGTGCTAATGACCTAAATACGCATTTATTTATTTCGTAATCCTACAGCTAACAATAATAATCAATTATACTAAAGATATAGCCATAGATGGAAACCATAATATATATTTAAAAAGGTTCGAACATTTACGAAAGGAAAAAATAGAAATGATTAAATAAATTTAACTAAGTAATACTTAATTCAGCTGTGTTGTATGATGGTGCGTATGTGGGGTGTGCTCATGATGCAGACGATTTAGCGCTATGGATTTTCATAATAAAGAATATGCTATATATTATATTAAGCATATTCCGTGAAAGCTTAAACAAGTCAAGGCTTAAATAGTGATCGTTGTATTGAATAATAAATATTTTATTGCTTAATGTCGTGTCGTGTGGTTATGGAAAATGTGAAGAAACTCGCGATACCGTCTCGGCCGCAATATTAACCGCAAAGCATGTGGGAACACATTGTTTACACTATTTATTACTATAGTTTTACATACGTTGCAGATTATAATATTTATTACGACGAAAATGAAATATTTTTAATAAAATTCCTTAAAGCATGTAATTTAAAATACTTTTTATTTTTAGTGCTCCACGTAAAATGAGGTTCATTGTAGATTGAATTGTGTATGTATCCAATTTGGATATTTCAATTGAAAGTAATCTTGTTATTTTCTGGAGAGATAATTTATACTTATCTCTAAAAAGTTTTCAATTATTTTTACAATTCTACATATCAACGGAATAAAACTCTTTTACTGCTGATAGAGGAAATCTTTGATTTTAATTTTTTTAGTATCATTAATTAACTATTAATTACTTAACATGTCATGTGGAAGATGGTGTAATGGTTGCAGCTACTTACAAACATTTTGTAAAACAAAAACTTGGAGATTAAAAAGCGTGGCGGAGAGTTTATTGCCAGTTTTTCTAGTCCGTTCTACGCCTTTGATTTGAGAACTGGCAGTAAATGAAAATTAGGAGCATTTAGTATTTAATTGGTATTTCTTTTTTGACGTTCATAACTGTACATTGTGTTACCTAAATGCTTAAATGATTTTGAATTTGAATTTGGATTCAATTGATTTTTCGTTTTCTGTAATACGTAATTACATAGTATGTTTACAGCCTTATATCTCGTAGGCTTTGGATTTTGACATATCATTTATATTTTTCATCTATCCTTTATTAGTTTAGTTTGTTTTTTGTTCCTGTTTAGTTTTTTCTTAATAACTATACGTAATATGTACTTTTGCACTTTTTGCCTACCTAATATAATTTTTCTCACAGTGGTTGCCTGGAAGAGATCGCTTTGAATCGATAAGGCCGCCAGTTGCCCTCCTTTTCATTTAATTATGTTCAATTTTTATATTGTAATGCAACGAAGTGTTAATAAATAATAAATAAATATTACATACGAGAGTAAAGACTTAGCTATCAAAAAAAACCTTAGTAAATACTATTTTTATCTTAAATAATTAAATTTAAAAAATAATAGACGATTTTATTCCTCTTCTTCTGGTACCGAATTTGTATCTATGAGTTTGACATTTAACGTTTTAAAGTCGCTAAAGGTACCGCTGTCATTACTATTTTATAGCGATTTTAATGTGCACTCTCTCAAAGCGAAATGCTTTTAAAAATACTTAAAACAGGAAGTAGTAAACGCAGGATCTGCGGGTGCCTCCCTTCTCCCGTGATTACTGCGAGCACTTAGTTGCAATGCTTCAAAATATATACTATCCGTTTCTCATTTAGGCAGGCGCTGTATCTAATTACCTTGTAACTGTACAATATTTTTTGCATGTTATACCTACAGTGTTCTATCAAAGCGCTATAAGAAACCACAAAAGAATCAATTACTTTCATACAGCCCTGTCGGTCAGGGAATATGGACTATCACATAATAAACAACTCGCGCCCATTTCCCTGCTATTGCCATCCTTGTGAGTCGTTCGATAAACGCGTAAGCGGTAAAGCTAAGAGTGAACTCACTAATAGTAATATTAATAAAACTTTATTCATGACAGAAATATGGTTTTGACAAAATTGATGTACCACTACAACGGCTCTATGTTGTGGGTAACTAGATTTCAAATATTCAGTGGTATAAGGTGCATTTTTATAACATTGTTTTTAAGATGAAGTCGTTTTAATATTACATTTAATCAAATAAAAGTAACAATACTTCAACAATACGTTTAATACCTAAGTAGGTATGCGTGAATTTATGAGAATGATACTACAGTGGCACTGATATTTCAGCAAGAGAAGGACTTTTATTAACGCATTCGCGTCGGTATGGCGGGCTGCAAGTCACACCGGAGAAGTATGGCATGATACTGCCGCCTCTTATTTTTTTATGGACTATCGGAAAATACTAGAATTTTTGTGGTACAAATCATTTGACACACTCATTAATCCGACGAGTTTGACTAACGCCCACGCAAATGGGCCGCCGTAATAGGACCCCTGAAGAACCGCCATACTGGTACAAATCACCCACTATTTTGTGTCACTATCTCCTGGCCTATCATAAATGTACTCGGCAGCGATTTAGACATAGACATAACATTTATTACAAACGAAAACACACACACCCATAAACACACAAAATAACAATACTTAAAGAAAAAAATTAAATAAGACATCAAAAACAATAAAAATTAAAAATTAACTTTTGCCATTCGGTTCGCTTCCAGTGTGCAATGTGTGTGTACTGTGGTTGTAATTGGCCCTGGCTCAGCATTATGCTGAGGAGCAAAAAGTTCCACAGCGCTGGTCATTCTGCCAGAGACCACAGCAGCTAGTTTGCGCCTCTAATAAAATTTCTCTTCAATAATTACGATTAATCAACATTTATTTTATAATCTTACGTAACAACATTTATCACAAAGAAATTAAGTATATTTGAACACGATTAAATTTAGAGGTAAAAAATTAAAAGGGGAGTTGCAATAGATGACACGACGCAGGAACTAGGAACTAAGGGTAAAATTCGTAAGCGCTAGGTATGATTACCGTATGTCAAAAACGTATTCGATATTGAGATACGGGAGTCCTACACACAAAAACTATTGTGCTGTCTTTAAAATTTTTAAAAGATGTAATAGATACCATGAATTTTAAAATTCGTAGAAATATCAATTTCTTAGACAATATGCTGGATACATAAAATTTAAAAAAATATATAAATTTACAAAAAAAAACAAAATAATTTCTCAAAATATATTTCATTTATAATATAACTAAGACTTAATTAAGTATACACTGTTTATAATGTACATTCTGATACAGTCGTTAGGATATAATACAATTCAATTTTATTAAGTTATTTTACATACTTCAAAGATAAAATTATTATTATAACTTTAGCATACACATCTTAATAAATATTGTGGGATGCAAAACATTATTCAAAAACATCAAATTAATATATTAATAAACTTTTAGAATTACTAAATAATATATTTTATTTAAAAAACAATTCATACAAATAGTATTATGTGAACAAACAATTTTGATTTCTCTTAAAGTGCACATCATTCAATAAATTATCTTCAGTTTAGATCGTAACTGTAAGCAATTAAACTAAGGTAGCTGAGAAAACTATAATAACGTGATACTCACAGTCAAGCGTTAAGTTAACAATTAAATGTAAGAAAGTCCTTAATCACGCCTTAAAAATTCCTTTGAAATCAAAAATCAATAAAATCGGAGTAATTGGTGATTGAGATGTAACCAAAATATTCTGTCACAGTCTACAGTGTTGGGGGAACTGGAACTACCGCGATTGCTGGTCGGCCAAGGTGAGGAGCGTCTTGATGGCCGGAATGAAGCTGGCCACCAGAGCGAAGTCCACGTCTCCGGCCAGAGACATGATCGCGCGTTGAGCGCCGTTCAGGTCTCCGCTTTGGACGCACTGCACGCACGAGTGGAGGGTCCCCAACGAACTGTCCGAGAGCTGAGGGAGAGTTGTTTCAATTAGACCTCTTTTACTTAGGACTTACTAATCGCAGATCTGTGGCCGAGAAGCTGACAACTATATTTGGTCTAGTGGGGTCGGGCGAGGCCTACTCCGGAAATATACTCGATATTTATGGGCGAGTCGCAGCCCGCTGGTCCCCTCTTTTGCTATTCATCTTACTGACATATTTAACAATTCTGGGGCAGATCTGTGCTCGAGGACATTTTACATTTTATTAAATGTATACTCTACTGGATGGCGCAAAAGTACTGGCACTAAAGAAAATTTGTTTATTTTTTTTATATGACATTTCCTGTCATTCTGTTGTTGAAAATTGTCTAGTGAACAAATGTAAAATACACTGAAAATAAACATGGACCGTTTTACTCGACTCGACCCCAAGAACGTGGAATAGTCGTGTCAATGTTTTTACGGAATAATTCATCAGTGATAAAAACACAACGTGAATTTACGAACGTTGTTTTTGTCCACTACACAATTTTCAACAACAGAATGACAGGAAATGTCATATAAAAAAAATAAACAAATTTTCTTTAGTGCCAGTACTTTTGCGCCACCCAGAATTATCGAAATTATTCAGAATTAAATGCCAGTCCTATAAACGTAAAGTGGGGCAGTAATGAACACGAAATTCTAAAAACTTAAAAATCAAAAATTCCTAAGTTTTTCTATGAGTTCAGTAGTTTTCTATCACATTGGAAAAAAATGCAAAATAAATGTTAATCTGTTTCATACCCTATTTGATCGTAGTAAGTCGTACAAATTCTCTAATTTCTTCTGAACTTCTTGGAGTTTTCTCTTCGCCACCTGGAAAATAATTATGACAGAATATAGCGCACTTATTCGCTTAATAAATTATTAATGGAACAGACGGTTGAAGATTAATTTGTATTTATAAAATTAAATATGAAGTTTTATTAGTGAATGCTATTAAGTTTTTTTCTTTTAAAAATATTGTTTTTAATTTTAACCAATAGCTTTTAAATTAAAAAAATATAGTATTGATAACTAACCGAGCTAGTGGCATTGTTGACGCAGTCGTGTCTCAACTGCTCAAAAATAGTCTGCAAAATCTGATGCTGCTCCGGAATAGGGCCTTTCGGCACGGGAGCCGGCTGCACCGGAGCTGGACTTTCCGTCTGGAAATTTATATTTCACCTCTTGTAGTAAAATAATGTTTGAACTATGTCGAACTTAAATATGTATTGTTAATATATGACATGCTTATCTTCTAATGTTCGTTCCCATACTCTTTCGAAACGGCTCGACCAATTTTTATGAAATTTTTTATGCATATTCAGTAAGTCTGAGAATCGGCTACTACCTATCATTCAAACGCCAAAATGTTAAGGGTGGGTCCACCCCTAAATTTTAATTTTTTAGATAAAATTTTTTGTTTCCATTTTTTTATGATGAAGCATACAAAAATACATACAACCCTTAATTTTCACCCCTCTACAATCAACCCCTATTTTTTATTATAGTAGATAGTTATTTTTATTGAACCAAAAAATGTTTCCTAGAATACATGGCAAAACGACGTTTGCCGGGTCAGCTAATATGTAATTTATAATTTAGTGAGACATTCCTTGATTTCATAAAAAAATGACCCCAAATATGACCATCTCTCCCCGCTTCACATATTTTGTTATAAATAATATGGCTACAGGTAAAACTAATGTATGAACTGCAACATTACGAACCCGTTGATATCCCTGCTGCTGATACTGCCCTTGATACTGATCTGAATACTGCTGAGGGAATTGTTGACCAGGAAACTGGCCCTGCTGTCCCGGGAAAGGCTGTTGATTAAACTGTTGTTGCCCGGGTAACTGTTGTCCCGGATATTGTTGTTGACTTGGAATTTGTTGTTGACCGGGGAACTGTTGTTGACCCGGGAATTGTTGTTGACCCGAAAACTGTTGTTGACCCGGTAATTGTTGTTGACCTGGGAACGGTTGTTGACCCGGGTACTGTGTCGGATTCAGCGGGACGTGCTGAGGTTGCTCAGCTCCGAATAAAGGATGAGTGATTGGAGCCTGTTGTTGGAGTTCTGGCTTTGGCTGAAAGTGGCAGTTCTCTATTAATATTATGTCGATCGCATAACAAAAAAGAGAGTGATACAAATGGTTGTATGTGTTATATATTTATTGTTTTTTGGACTGCTAATATTTTATTTAACAAATGAAGTTATAAACAGATATGATTGAAAATACAACTCGGAATGAAAAACTACGCCCCACCCACCATATCAAGCATCAATAAAACTCCTAAAGAACAACTGAAACCGATAATACCATGCTCACACATCTCTAATATTCATGCTCTTTTGTTAAACAAACTGACAAATAAAGTTACTGGAAGAACTAAAACTTCAAAATTGTTCAGTTCGTCCGTTTGTGCGATACCTCGTGGCTAATAATGTGATTCCAGTGCCTGGTTCCTGCGTGTAAGGGTGACATATCTTGGTCACATTGCTGTATCGATTAAATAAATAAATAAACATTTAATATATAAAAAATTCTCGTGTCATATACTCCTCCGAAACGGCTCGATCGATTCTTATGAAAATTTTATGCATATTCAGTAAGTCTGAGGATCGACTACTATCCATATTTCTAACCCCAAAATATGAATTTTTCCCCTAAATTTTAGTTTTTATTTTTAGATAAAAAAAATTGTTTTTATTTTATAAATTATCCATACAAAAATACATACAACCCTTAATTTTCACGCGTCTACAATCAACCCCTATTTTTATTATAGTAGCTAGTTATTTTTAAAACTAAAAAAATGTTTCCTAGAAATACCATGGCAAAACAACGTTTGCCAGGTCAGCTAGTTATAATATAAAATTATACAATTAATTAAACTTTGAGGTTCACGCACTCACTCATTCTCTCATTCTTAATTTGTATTATCTTTTTTTAACTGTTTTAAACATGTACCACGTAATAATTGTTTTCTAGTTACCCACAACACAGGGCCTCCCTAGTGTGGGGACTAGCGATATATGAATTCTGTCACAGCCCTTTTGTCATAAATAAAATTCTTATTATTATTATTAATCTAAACAAAGTTCCCGTTTACCTTAGGCTTAGAGGTCATGACGGGCGGGTCGTTCCATCCGGGGGCGACCGGTTTGGAGGGGACGGCGGGAGCGGCGGGTTCGACTCCCTGCGAGCCGTAATAGCTGCCGTTGGTTTGACCCGGTTGATTCACTTGGTTCGAGGGGTTGGCTGGTAAATTCGCTGGGTGCGGCATCGTCGGGTTGTGGGGAATTGGATTTAATTGATGGGACGGGTTTAATGGCAGATTTGGGTTCAAGGGTGGGTTCATAGGATTGGGTTGGTTGATGGGGGTGAAGTTGTGGGAAGGGACACCGGCGGGATTGTATTGGTCGGGAATTGGACTATTGTAACCGAATTGTGGTTGATTCGTGACCGCGTTGTTGAAGCCATATTGGCTGTAAAGGGGGGCGGATTGCACCGACGGGTCCACTTTGTATTTGGAGCGGGATGTTATACCTGAAAAAGTTAATTTGTATAATAAGGAGATAAAATAAATGCAACATATTGTCTATACTTTGATTTTTAATTCCGTAGAATTCTGACAGCTATCACTTTTTGACATGTCAGAGTTGGCAAACATTTTTGGCCGGGCACATTTTTCAATTTCAATACGAGTCTGAACATCTGAGTCTATACATACATTTTATTGTTTAAGTTAATGTATCCATTTTATTAAGTGCGGTGCTCCACATTTAAACGGCGATTCATAATTACGTCCCTTTTCATCACAAACAGTAAAAAACGCACAAGTAAAGATAACATTCTAATTTTTTTTAAAGGTTTACTAAACCTGGAATTAGTGGGCAGTGATGCCAGCTAAAGAAGAAAATAAAGTAATTAAAGTTAATTCGATATATTTTTCCTGATATTGAAATATTTGTTATTTTTGTAACTGGAGTAAGTAAATATTTAGATTTACTTTTGTAGATAGAATATAAAAAATACGTGGCACTTTTTTAAATTGCCCTCAAGTAAGTCAAATTTCGGCGGAGAACTTTTTTAGTAGCAACACTTATGAAATGTCAGAATTCTACGGAATTAAAAATCAGAGTTTCAAATAATCTTTTGAATATCAAAACATAAGGTAATTATTTCTTCCGGATATGACGACTAACAATCGCTGTATTTATCCCTATTTGGGACCCTAATGAGTTCTATGCGGAGTTTTTTACCTTGTTAAAATCGCAATTTAATGACATTGTTCCACAAAAGACAAAAAGTATTTACACCAAGTTCTTATTTAGTGATTGGGCGACTCCAGGTATTCGTAAGAGCAGGGATAAACTTTTTGAACTGTATGGCCTAAGGCAACATGTAAAAAATACAAACTTTCATCAGCATGTTGCGAAATATTCAAAAACTTTTAAAAGTGTGTGCAAAATTGCTAAAGCACTGTATATTAGTAATAAAATAAAATCAGCGGATGACAAAATAAAAACTACCTGGCAAATAATAAATAATGAAACTGGTAGAAAAAAACAGCGTAATACTGAATTTAACTTAGAGACTGCACATGGCCCAATAAACTCAAATGCAGAAATAGCTCAGGAATTTGAAAACTTTTTATCAATATTCCCTTTAAAACTACCGAAGCTTTAAGTTCATCATCCGCACTTTCTTTTGCGTTACTTACGAAGAATGTAAGGGCATGCCCTACGGAGTTTCGATTTCAATATACAAACCCCCAGGCTGTTATAAAAGCTTTTAAAGATCTTAAAATTAAATCTACAGAAGATCTTTGGGGATTGTCTGTAAAAGTCTGTAGTTCTATCATCGAAACTATTGCGCCTTATTTAGCTTTCATATTTAACACCAGCATAGACCAAGGAGTCTTTCCGGATCTCATGAAACACAGTAAAGTAGTTCCGTTGTTCAAATCCGGTGATAGTAAAGAACCCAATAATTATAGACCTGTGTCAATTCTGCCAGCTCTCAGTAAGGTGTTTGAAAAGTTAATGCTCAATCAAATGTTATGTCACTTTAATAAAAACTCCATCTTTCATGAACAACAGTACGGTTTCACCAAAGGGCGTTGTACAACTGACGCCGGTGTCTCCCTAATCAAGAACATTTTTAACGCTTGGGAGGAAGCACAAGATGCCATTGGAATCTTTTGCGACCTTTCGAAGGCGTTCGATTGCGTAAACCATGAGACTCTTCTGCTGAAACTTAATCACTACGGGATTAAGAACAGAGCTCTGGACTTACTAAGATCTTACTTGAAAAACAGACAGGTTAAAGTTCAGGTTAACGGCATAAACTCGTTAGGGTCTGAAATTACAATGGGCGTTCCTCAAGGTTCAATATTGGGTCCATTCCTCTTTTTAGTATACATAAATGATTTACCCCAATTAGTTCAGAATAAACCGAAGATGGTGTTATTTGCAGATGACACATCATTGATTTTTAAAGTAGATCGACTGTCACAAAATCGTGACGACGTGAATAACTCTATTCTTCGGGTCCAAAATTGGTTTACGGTAAACAATTTGGCACTGAATGATAAAAAAACTAAATGTATTAGATTTACGTTGCCAAATGTTAAAAGTAAGGAATGTGACATAATGTTGAATGAAGGAAAACTGGAATTTATTAATCAAACGGTTTTCCTAGGCATCACGCTAGACGAGAAGTTACAATGGGGACCTCATATCACATCTCTTGCGGGGCGGCCTTTTATGCGGTTAGAAAGATAAGATATTTAACCAATGTAGAAACTGCGCGTTTGGTCTATGTTAGCTACTTTCACAGCATAATGTCTTACGGCATTTTACTGTGGGGTCGGGCTGCTGACATAGAATCCATTTTTATTTTGCAAAAGAGAGCGGTCAGAGCCATTTATAATCTACGTCGTTGCGAATCTCTCAGGGAACTATTTAAAAAGATTAATATTATGACAGTACCTTGCCAATTCATTTATGAAAATATTATGTATGTAAGAAAGAATCTACATCTTTTTAGTAAAATAAATGAAAGACATAATTTTAGTACTAGAAATAAAGATAAAATAGCTCAACCATCTTTCAGATTAGCCAAAGTTCAAAATTCATTTATGGGGTACTGTGTGAAATGTTACAATAAAATACCTTGTGACATTTTAAAACTAAATGAACGAAAATTTAAATGTTTTATTAAAAGTACACTTTGTAAACAAGCATATTACAAATTAGATGATTATATTCAAGATAAGAATGCTTGGAAACATGCTGGTCCTGCTCCATAGGACAATCCTATGATTGGCTCTATAGCCTGGACAAAATCAAATTGGTTGCTGATTTTTTGCTTTAACATATTTTTGTTATTATTTATTTTTTATTTTTTTTTAATTTATATAATGCTACAAATGTAATTATTTTTTTTTGTATCTCACACACTGTTTTGTTGTGTTTTTTTAATATTTTTATTACTCTTTAATGTTAATATTCTAAGGTTTCGATATTTGTAAATATGTGAGGAACATGTATACTAACTTTTTTAGTATAGTAGTTTATTCTAAGAGTACATTGTCTTCACATATAATTATTTAACAAATGTAAGAAAATATTGTAAACCTATTTTAAAAGAGTAAGTGTGGAGTTTCTTACCCATTCTTCTCCACACGAAACTACCTTTTGGAAGGGGCAACTAGAATCATCTTTATATTTTTTTTTTTGACGTTCAAAAGTGCCATTTTAGATGGTCTAATTGAAATAAACGATTTGACTTTGACTTTGACTTTATCATAGACAATTTTAAGAAATAATTCCTGCTTGAAATTAGCCAAATCAAACTAATCCCTATAATATAATATTTGTAAGATTGATCTCTGTATTGATAAGACGTACCGGTCTGAGGTCCCACGCTTCCAGGTCGCGAGTGCTGCGAAGGAGGCGCCACTTGCGCAGGCGCAGCTGGCACTGGCGCGTTCCACGGGTTGGGTGCTCTTTGCCACTGCTCTTCTGGCTTCGGTGCTGTAAGGGTTTAGAGAAAATAATATAATAAGGGTTTATAAAAAAAGGCGTTGAAGTAAAACTATTTAGGTCTGATTGTATCTTGTTTCGTGATAATTATTTTAATACGCATATAAGTGCCTTCTGTGCTTGACCCTGACATTTTGCTCCACCACACGAGCAAAGAAAAATCCTCAGTTTTCGATTGAGAGGCGCTCAAACTGTATTGTTACTAATCCAAAATATAAAAAAAAACGTATGGCACTCGGGGACTGCTGCGGTGATAGCATTTTTTGTAACTTATGCAATTATAATTATTTATTTATGCGGTATTTTTTTCCTTTGATATTAATTCAATCAGAATAACACGCCAATATAGTCACCGATCTCGTTAGAGAGATGTGAATACGCAGTATGCGTTCTCTCCCGCTCTAACGCGTATTGGCCGCACCTATATTACGTCATCGTGTGTTAGGTTTATTTTCGTTATAGAATTTCTTGATTCGGTCGCCGCGTTCAAAGCCCGCGATAAAATCTATGCAATAGCTTAAAAAAATTCGTTGGTTATGAGAACTGACACTTACGAAGCGCTGCATTGTTGGGCAAGAAGGTGTTCGGTTGAGCTCGTTTCTGCGAGTGTTCGCTCGCCGTGCGAGTCCTGCTCGCGAACTGCTGCTGCTGGGGTTGAGGGTGTTGCGGGTGTTGCTGAAATAGACGTACCGTCATATGATTAATTATTCCGTTAAAGAAGACTACAATTTAAAAAAAATATAGAAAAAATATTGAAGGTACGTAAAAATTTAACTTCACATGTTAATAGTATTGTCTTTGATTAACATAACTTTTATTCATTTAATAAAACACTATTTTGACCGGATTGAAGTTATGTATTATTATAAATTTACAACTATTTAACATAATTTTAAATTTATAAATAAATACAGATAATGCAACTTTCTCTGCAGCTGTGATACTTTTTGACATTCAACATCTTTTGTCTTCAGTCACCGTGACCACGCACGCTGTAAAGCACGCGAAACGTCGGATAAATTTAAAATTATGTTAAATAGTTGTAAATTTATAATAATACATAACTTCAATCCGGTCAAAATAGTGTTTTATTCACATGTTAAGCTAAACAAAATATACATAACAACATATTACCGTTACGTTATAACCATTTATAATAATAATACTAAATAGTTTATTTGCAATGAATGTGGTACATTCAGATTAATTATAAAAAACCGCACAATCAGCCATATAAAAATAACAAGTTAAATTATGTATAATTTTTCTCTCCCACGCTATAAAGGCACCTTGCCTTTAAGATATTAAATCCCCTTCCCCTTGAAAGCATTACACGACAGTGATCTATATCTATCTATCTATATAGATCTATAACTTCTCAAAAGGTGGTTAAATAGTTTGATGGCCATAGCGTAGAAATTTTTCGAATAATTTTGGATACGTTTTTCTTTTAGGATATATAAAATTGGTACTGTCAAAATACCGAGTTCACACATTACATATATACGTATAAGACAATACCTGCGCAAATCTGTTCTGTGCCAACCCTAGGGCGGTGGCGAGTCGGTCGTACATTTCCGAAGGAGACCCCTGGAGAGCGGTGAGAGCGCTTTGGAGGCAGCCCTGAGAGGCCAATCGCCCCGCGTACTCTGTCAGAATACTTGTCAAGCTGCCTCCGTCCTGGAAAACAATAACAGTTGAGACATTTCGTGTTTGACAAACAACTATTGTTGAGACAGTACAGCAGGTTTTTTTTAAAAATAAATCAGTAGACGCTACAATATTTTTAGGTCTGGACCTCAGATTGCTGTATTTGTTTCATGATCATTTGTAAATCTAATAGGCAAGTAGGTGATCAACCTCCTATGCCTAACCCACGTCGCTTTTTGGGTCTAAGCAAGCCATTTTCCTCACGATGTTTTCCTTCACCGTTCGAGCGAATGTTAAATGCGCACATAAAAAAAAAGGGTCCGTGTACTTATGTACGCGCGTAAGAAGTTATACTTCTTTGGCATTATTAAAAATAGTTTGGCTTTGTTCCACCTCCAGTTTTTGATGTTTTACAGCGATAAGATGACAACTCTTTTTTTGTATTCAATTTAGTGCACTTACACTGATTCATCAATTGTTTTTTGTCTCTTGTCCTTATATTTGCTAGAGAAAAATTACATGTTTTGATTAAACAATGTGGTAATTTTTTTAATCAAAACATTACTCGATAATAATAATACAAACTGATAGTTAACCTCAATTGTAATGAAGCACTTAGGAAGGTTGATGAGCACAGTTTCACAAATATTAATTAGTATTGGTTTAAATATTCAATTTAAATCACTTTAAATATATTTAATTTAAAAAGCATCGCTAAATTTCTTTGAAAAAATAATTAAAACTCCTTTATTTGTTTAAAAGGTAAATGACAAATGTCATTCTGGTCATTCAAAATTGTTGGCATACGAACTTCACGCATATTCTATTTCTTTCTACTTGTAGATTGTCTTATTCCTATCTCGCTCGCGCACGCTATAATCACACTCCTAATTTTGTGTCACAGGTGCGCGCGCATCGTAAAATTTCACTCTCATCAATTTTTCATAACGCGCCTAAAGAAGTATAACTTCAAAAAAGTCAATTAGTGATAAGCCGGGTTGAAGCTACGACCTCAGGGATGAGCGTCGGACGCTGAAGCCAGTATGCTAACACAAAATTATTAAAAATTCTGCATTAAACACACTTTAGAAATAATAAATAAATAGTTTGGTTTTACCATTTAAACAAGTCCTACGAACTAACCTGCACTGGTCTTCCGCGCGTCACTGCAGCCGTTTTTAGTAACAGGGCGAGTTGGGCTCGTCTCGTCAGCTCTGCTATATCGTTGACGTCGCGTTTCTCGCGCGATAACCGCGCGGCTAACGCGTCTCCGGCCGCGCTCACCACGTAGCATAGCTGGGCCGCTTTTTTGTAGGTTTCGTCCGATTCCTCGGATAACTTGTCGCCTAATAATTCTGAAACATGAGAGAAAAAACTGTGTTCAATTTCTTAATTTGTGTATATATTATGATTTCCATCTTTGGCTATATCTTTAGTATATTTGTTGTTTGTTATATATATGTTAGCTGTAGGATTACGAAATAAATAAATAAGTATTCAAATAAATGTAAAACATTACGCTACACAAAGAACTTGCCATCTGAAATAATGTATCAATATTAAATAATTTGATTGTCGGATGCAAAGTGATACTTCGATCTCGAGACGCCGCAAGTACGTTGCCGGCTTTTTAAATGGTTAGCATTCCTTGAAAAGCTCTCACCGCAGTAGTGCGGCAGGACATCGGTGTCCGCGTGAGTGACGAGGGTGGCCAAGACGTCCTTCCAGCTCTCGGGAGCCGAACTCCTCACGAGCCCCTCCCACTTGCTTCGCAGAAGACTTCCGCTAAGTAGAGACACCGGGTCTGACGCGTTGGCGTTCAAATGGTATCGCTGGACTTTGTAGACCAGCTCTTGGCTGCCTGAAAATATTATATGCTGTCATTTTATCATAAACCCCAATTTCAGTATTTAGATTTAGCTCTCGTCGTTAGTTCATCCAGACATCGTCAGCGGGTAAATGTAGAATAAGATTCCAGAAATGTTATCTGTTTTTTTTTAAATTATAATCTAAATAAAAGATTATTTGTCTAATTATTTTTTATTAAACTTCTGAGTAAATTATTAATATACACCAAAGGTGAACTTTATTGTTAAATAATAGTCTTCATACCCAGAGAAGCGATAATAAGCGCATCGGCCACTCTGTTCGTGTCGAGACAGAGTTCCACGGCCTCTTCCAAGTTTCCGCAGACGAGAGCTCGGCAAATCAAACTCGTTGATTCTGAAATCATTTTTAGACCTAAATTACTGATATTGTTGGAATTTGATAATATTGTAGTATGTATGCCCACAAATTTCTCGAAATTTGAAAAACATCGAGATGGATGAGTCAAGGTTTCATCAAAATTGGGAGTATTTTTGGCTTCATTTTTGGATATTGACACGTATTCGAAGACAGTTCAATTAAGCTTGAATTACTTTACAAGCTTTTTGAGTGCATCATTAAACATTTAGGTTTATTCTTATAAAATACATGAGAAAAAAAAATTAAAAACATAAAAAGTAAAATATTAAGCCACCGTCGCGACAACAAACGAATTAACAAACAAATATGGTGGCGCGGGGCATATTCCGTTCAACCAATCAGCGCGCGAGGTGCGATCCGTTTCACAATTTGACGGTTTCACTTCGATAGATTACAATCTACCGAATAATAATACGTTAAATTGTAAGCAGTGCGTTGAGGTTCACAATCTCGCGACATAGATTACAATCTAACGGTGTTTACAATTTTACGGTGAAATATACATTAAATGCTTCAAATTTTGACGTTCGTGTCGTTGTACATTGTGTTACCTACATGAATAAATGATTTTGACATTTGACTAACATTAAAATTTAAAATCATAAACCGCTCAAAGACATTACCTTCTCCGTTCGGGATGACGACATCTGTGGCAGTGGTTTCTAGGTCGAGATTGGCTAATTTCCTTTCGATTAGGGTTTGAGCCTCCTGAAAAGCCAAGACTTTTATGAACTACATTTAACATGAAACAAAGCTAAAACGATTTAACACTACGGCGTTCATTGCAAAAACTAGTTGTCGAAATGCAAAAGCTAATTACCGATATACTCACCGAGAGATCGGTGCTGGTGTCGGTCGAAAGTTCAGCCTCCGTCTCCGTGGACTCGCCCTGAGAGCGACGGACAGACAGAATAGCCCACGGTTACACATAGCGACATTAGCCACAAACAGCCCGCATTTCTTACATTATTTGTTAATTGTAGCGTTTGGACACACAGAACAGGCTTTAGCATAATAACTTTTGAAATAAATGTTTTGCTCTAAGAATGTTTTACAAGAACTAGACGCCCACCAGAATAAAAGGGATAGCGGGGAAGGGTTGGCAAAAGGTGGCGAGGATGAGAGACAAAGAGGGTTTCTCTCCGTCGGAGGTCGTTTACTAATGTTAAACATAGTGACATGGACTTGTAATCCTAAGTATGTAGTACTCGAATACAGGCTATTTTTATTTTATAACGTTTACAAGATTTTTGTGATGTTTTTGATTTAAAAAACACACACTACCACCACCAACAAGTCACTAACGAGTTAACGTGGGGAGAGAAAGTTAAAGAAATTACATAAAATATCTCGTTTAATTGTGATTGGTCGGAGTCCCTCCAATCACAGACACGCGATACCTTTATTTGCGTTTCACCAATAACAATCTAACGTGACGAGGTATCGTTTCGTCTTTCGGCTTCAATATATAGGCCTCAAATAGCCATTTAATGTTTTTTTATTAGTCTCACAAGATATTGAGAATAGATCAAACACTTTTAACGAATTCATATGAATTTAGGGACCTTAGATTCTTTCGATCTAAATTATTATCGAAAAAGCTTGAATTAATTGCGTTTCTTTAGCTATTAGTGCATCCCACAATCTGCAATTGCTATGAAACTCAATTGTTCTACAATTTTTCGAAAGTTCTCTTGATTTCCCTAACTATTAATAAGCGAAAGAATATCGAAACATGAATTAGAAGCTGGCGATCACGATACATATACACATTGAAATGAATATTTGAAAACTTACTCGGCTCAAAAAGGCTGTGTCGTTTTGGATGTCTCCAGCGTTTTGACTTTTGAACTTCGATGGGATCTCGTCTTGCTTGTAACCTTTAATGTAATTTTTATTTTACATAATTTTGCGTGTCAATGGACGAACATTAAATAAAGTTTTACTATGATTTTTTTATCTTTCTGTAAAGTTACAATTTAGCTTCTAAGGGGCTGTTCAAGTATTACGTAAGCACAAAGCAGGGATTTAGATCAAGATCTAAAAAATTTAAAAGAAGTTTGTTTGAGCATTGGTTACTTTTGCTGAGAAGGGGGAGGAGGGATTGTAGTAAATCTGCTTATATAAAGTTTGAACGGCCTCTTACTAATAATTTTCTTGAGACCCAGGTCAGTACTTCGGCACAGGTTGGCACATGACACATGTTAACAAACGCAGAGCGTGTCACACGCCCTTGTATGTCAAAATATAAAATATTTGCATCTCTTTAAAATTATTTGACTTAGATAATAAATTTAAGCTCAATAAAATTTCCAGATACCAGATAAAGTATCAAATAGTTTCTCGATGTTCCAATTATTAACAAATCAAAAATCTCGAGAGTGGAAAGTACTCACCGAGCAAGTTAAGCACTTCAGTGCGGAAAGAAGGAAGGAAGTTGGCTCGAAGGAAGAACCACGTGTACCGCTCGTGTTGGTCGGAAGACGCGTCTCCCTGCTCACGGCAGTACCTGGAATTGTCATGGTAAAATACACCTTAACATGCGGCAATAAGGACTACATTACGACGCCTATTTCAAATTCCATTTATGTTTTCTATAACTAAAATAAACAATAAAAATGTTTTTTTGTATAATAAAAGTGTGAACTAACTCTGCAAGTCTGTCGGCCGCCTGTGGGTCACGGCTCAATGTGAGAGCTAAAACTTGTTCCAGCGACACCGATTTCTCCACCAACTCTGGCTCACTCACAACCTGTAAATTATATATATGGTGAAGACATTTTGATATTTCTTTATATCTTTTAATCAACTGAATAATGATTAAAGGGAAAAACGTATACCTGCGTGATTTGCACCAATCTCCTAACTTCTTCGGTTTGTGGACACTTGTCAAACGTCACCAGTTTTCCGCCAAACTAAAAAAAATACTTAGTAATATTTTTGGAAAAGTAATATTTTGTTAGTTTCTTAATTAATTGAATTGAAATTTTTTTTTGCGACTGAGGCGCAAACTAGCTGATGTGGTATCTGGCAGAATGACCAGAGCTGTGGAAGATTCTGCTCCTCAGCATAATGCTTAGCCAGGGCCAATAACAGCCACAGCACACACGCATTACGCACTTGAAACGAACCGAATGGGAATAGATTTTTTTTTATATATCTCTCATTATATTTTTATTTAATTTTTTCTTTGATTATTGTTATTTTGTGTTTTTATGTTTGTAATAAATGCTATCTATGTCTATAAATTTCATTTGATTTTTTAAGTTAAATCAATATTAATTAATGCAGCTTTATACATATTTCAACTGTGATAAATAAACTCACGGCAAACTTGGCGGCGCTGGGCCTCTTGAGCCAAGCCGGTGGGTTCTTCGGCAGAGGGTTGGGCGCCGAGGCGGGCTCAGCCCTGGTAACCGCCGGCAGAGCTGCGAACGAGTCCGCGCCCCCGAACGACTCCATTATGTTGCTGGCCGTGTGGAGGCTTTGCTGAGGGTTTCCAAGGTTCTTTGAGTGATGGGTTTTAGAAAGAGAGAGAGAGCAAACTTGATAGTAAAGATAAAATTAAATACAATTAAATGATAAAGCTACACAGTTTTAGGCTAAAGCATTCTTTTTGACACACCTTTGTACGTTTAGTACTCGTCCTATACTTTTAGGTCCATCAATCGTTAAATGTGTCAAAGTCCAGTCAAAATCAAAGTTAAAAACATTTATTCATATAGGTAGCACAATGTACACTTATGAACGTCAAAAAAATAATATATATTAAATGCTTCTAATTTTACATTTATTGCCAGTTCTCAAATCAAGGGCGAAGAACGGCTTGACTATATTAAAAATAAAGTGTTATTCAAAGCAGTCTGTTTATAACATGACATTAATAATCGTTATTTGAGTAAAATAATCTGTCAGTAATCATGACATACATATTTTTATATGTTTGTCTCCTGACACAAAACAATAGTCGAATCGACGGTGAGATAAGCGTATCTATCCTATCTTATTTATGCTATGCATAATAATTAATACGTTACAAAACCGTTTGTTATGAGACGTCATTTGAAATGGTGCCTAGAGAAATAAATAATTAACAAAGTCAATATGCAAGCCAATACGGGCATATCTCACCCGATCAGGCCTCGTGCCCCCCAGCAGCGAGTGTACGGCCACGTGCTCCGCCGCCGCCGCCGCGAACACGCCCGCAGTGCGGCCGCTCCACGACACGTCGTTCACCCACTGGCCTTGCTGACACACTTCCACCACCAGTTCTCCACCCTGCCAATCGATCGCAGTTGAACAAAACAATTATTAATGCAGACTATATATTATATAATAAATTAAATAGGCTGTTTAACATCTACCCGCTCACCGTCTACGTCACAGCTTCTTGCGCAATGTTAGAGATGCTTTTGAGACCTAGTATGTAGTTACACACTTTTTTCATTCACTCACTCACTTACACATTTACACCCACACACTCACTCAAGCACTCAGGAGTGTTGATAACAGTTGAAAAGTAAATAAAATAAAATATGTAATTAGATTATATATAAATATATTTTAAGGAATTTATACTTAAGTTTGTTATGGAAGAGCTAGGAACCCTGACACAGGTATTTCTTACTAAAAGGGTTCCCAAATCTTACACATTGTAATGCATATGTACTTATAATGAATAAAGACATTTTTATTATTTATTTAGGTATATTACTCTTGGTTTAGAAGACTCGGGGGACGTGTCTGTTATGAGTGGCAACATACCGGTTTGGTGTTATTTGGGTTCCAACAAAGCAGTCGGCCATCCTTTCCGGCACTCAGAAGTAGGTCAGGATCGTGGGGACTCCACGATAGACCCAGAATTCCCTTGCTATGTCCTTCCAGGGTTACCAACGGAGATGCTGCTAACCTGCAGTCGATTAGACAGGAAACGATTGGTAGGCGTAACTTTGTTTTATGAAAATATATATATATATTATCTTAATATATATATATATATATATATTATCTTAATATATATATATATTATCTTAATATATAATAATTGGAACTATACTTGGTTATGAAATAATTCAAAAACAACAAATTTAACACAAACTATGAATTGCTATTTATTTTATTTCATTTTAGAACATTATTGTACGTCCAAAGTGCTTCTAAACGATTTTTTTCATTCATGTTTTCAATTCATGTCATACGTGTTAATAAAGAAACGAATTTCAATCAATTCCTGAGAATCTGTTAATTTGGCATCTCACCTCAGATCCCAAAGCTGTATGACCGGCAGCAAGTCGTCCTCTGAGGCGATGCAGAGCTGGGTGGCCACGGCCGGATGCCAGCACACGCTGCGCCAACGGGTGCGGGACTGGGCGTCGCTAGTATTGGTCAAATAGAACATTTTTATTTCCAATATTCGATAATCATTATATAAACTAATTAAAATAACTGCACAAATAACACGATAATAAACCTATCAATAAATAATTAATCAAAGCAAAATTTTTTTTTATCAAAAGCAAAGAAATTAATTTAAACAGGTTATTAGAAAATCACAAAAGCTATAAATACTTACTAAACAACTCACCTCAATTTCATAATAGGTTCATTCTTCCTCAAGTCCCATACTAAGCACCTTGTGGCAAATGTGGAGCCCAAAATGTGTTGCACCTGAAAAAAAAAATGTACAAAATCGCAATACATGTAATTATCCAAACATATGCATGAAGACACCAATCATCACAGTCAATATGACACAAATAAACCTCTCCTGCAGGAACAGTACAGCAAACATATTAACAAGATCCAATACAGTAGAACCTTGTTAAGTCGAACCTCGATAAGTCAAAAACCTCCAAATCTCGAAAAAATGTTTTGTTCCCTTCCCTTAAAACACCAAAACCTCCATTACTTGAAATCTTGACCCTCTGTTAATCGAAATAATCACCGAGTCCCTCCAAGACATTTTGGTACATATTATCACTCTATAACTCGAAAAATTAAATTTGACCTCTGTATCTCGAACATAGGAACGTTTTATTTTACAACCTTTACAACTTGATCATTTGGAATTTATTATCTCTATTGTTCGAACAAAAATAAGTTACCGACTTTAAGAACTTGCCGCCAATGTGAGTACACTATTGTTTCTTAGAAAACATTTTAGGAGTATACAATAATAAATTTATGACTCATGGAAACACGTGTTTGCTTGCTTTGTGTCAGGTGTTCAATTTTGATTCCCTTGGAAATTTAGAAATTTAAAACCTCAAACTCTTTATGTCGAATCAAAATCTGCCTAAGTCGAAATCCTCCATAAGTTGAAAACTCTATAACTCGAATTTTTTGGCGTCTCCCTTGATGTTCGACTTATAGAAGTTCTACTGTATATAGTAAATTGACATACAATTGTTAATAACTATTTTACCTAAAAAATTTATTCATCTAATAGGTTTGTTAAATCTAATAAATTTATATCGGTAGGAGTAATAACAAATCTTCAAAACATTCACCTGCTGGTTCCACGCTAGCCCCTGTACATGTTCATAAGGCTGACTTCGATTTCCCGGTGCCATTGGCTGGCTTGTGTTGTTTAGATCCCAAATAAATATTTCACTATCTGATGCTCCAGATGCTAATAAATTTTTTTGATACGGATTAACATCCAATGCAGATACATTTCCTGAAAAGAACACCTTATTTAAAATACATTAAAGGTAAGTAAGCTGTGCTTGTCAGAAATCAATTAAACTTAGGTGAGACTTCTAAATTCTTAACTTGGTTGTTAAATACTTGGAGACAACAAATAAGGTTTTGAAAAAGTATAGGGTCCTCATTCAATGAACATAATATTTATTTATCTGAAAAATTTATAACTAAGAGATAACTTATCAGTTGCAGCTAACTGTAACAACTGTCGGCAGCTATTATTAAACAATTATATAGTAAAAAATAACAATAAAGGGGATGGTATTGTACTGGTAAAAAAAATATTAATGTAATTGACTTTAAAATTATATCTAGTTGTTACATTGATTCATGAAATTAGGCCAAAGGATAGTTAAGATGACACTATCATGATGTAACATGTGGCAGTGTGCTAAACTTAAATTTACTGATTTATTTAGAGAATTATACATAAAAGTATTACATTGGGAGCCCTGAACAAAAATACAGTTATTAATTGAAAATTATTAAATTATAATTATATATTATGCTCTAATAGGTATTGTACGGCTTCATGTAATTTAATCAATTAATTTGTAAATGGAGGTGGATACGCTCAACAGACCTAATGAGAGTCTAAGTGCGGAACTGAGTCCACCAACCATTAATTGGAGTAGGAAAGTCCAGAGTTTTAAAGGGGTTGATATTCACTAAATTAGAATCTCTAAAATGTTTATCATTAGAATTATTTACCATTATGTTTATCGCTGCTTCCAACAAGTGCATCAGGTGAACTATTGAGAACTTTCTCAGTACTATAGAATTGAAGCAAACCTCCATCGCAGCCACCAACTATTGTTCCCGCTCCTGACCAAACTATCTTCTGAAACCTTTCCAAAAATCCATACTTATTACTGTCACTTTCAAATGGAAAAATGAATATTAACACAAAATAATTACATTATATACATAAATTGACATTTCAAGTGCTTTTCAGTAGCCTCAAAACATTTAATGAGGTAAATAATGTAAAAAATGTGTGTATATCCATTAATCAACCACATAATTTTTTTAGCAGATTGAAAATAATTAATGATTTATAGATTATTTTTATTTATTAATAAAAGATATGTAAGATTATTAAATAATTTTAATAATCTTACATATCTTACATTTACATTTGCAGCTTCTAGGTCAAATAAGTTCTAATCAGTATTATACAATAGTTTTTAAATCAATCGTTTATATTATTGCTTATTATCATGAAAAAGTAAGCATAAGAATAAAATATGCATACGAATAAAAGATGGCATATTTTTTATGTAGAAAATGATGTAATAAATATTATTTGCTATATGGTGTATTGTTTTAAACTTTAAGATTACTCACTTGTGCTGTGTTTGCAAGCTGGCCTTAAGCTCTAAATCTAATCCTAGGTCTTCTAAATTTAAAGAATAAAGTTCTAATGAGGAATTGGAGCTGAAATTTGCATCCACTTGCTGAGCCGCGGAGCCGGCAGCCAGCATCGACGGATATTGCTCCGCTGGCGACCAGCTCACGTTGACCGTCTTCTTTAATTCTTTTAGCTTCATGTTAAGGCACCAACTCTACTACAAAAGGCACCAAATTTTGTAAAACTCTGATTTGAATGAAATAACAACAAAATTATGTCACAGGTATTCTTGAAGTATATCACAACTTAACAACACTAATGTTGAGATTTCGTAGCTTAGATAGGTGTCAGTTAATGTATAATGTATCTTTTATTAACAATTTCATTTAATATGTCTGAAAAATCATTTATTTACCATAAAAACACCAAGTTGGCACTTCCAACGTGGCTGACGTAAAGCAATACAAATTACAAAATTTAAATTAGCCGATTGACAGTTTACTCATTTGTTAAAAAATATACATGACAGTGACAATAACATAAAGACGACGATTACTACGTCATATTACATTCGAGTATAGCTGCAAATATTTTTATCTCTATTGAATTTTTGGCGCTTTAAGCATTCCTAAGAGCTAACTTTTTAAATTAGCCTTTGTTACTGTGTCCAGGAAAAACACAACAGGATATGAAACATAAAAAAAGGGTGCGTGTACTTATGTACGCGCGTAAGAAGTTATACTTCTTTGGCATTATTAAAAATAGTTTTTGATTGCATGCAAATAATTAATTACAATTAAATAATCAAAGACTGGAAAAGGAGTCATTATAGTCAATAAAGTTCAGTTTACATTTGAAAAATTAAATAAATAAATATTCATTATTATTCTCTTACATTAAGTGTAACATAAATTCTTTTATTATTCGAATGTTGTTTTTAAATTATATCCAATGCCGTAGCATTTTCCGTGGGCAACTTCATTCTGTTAATTTTTTGTCACGGTGCGCGCGCATCGTAAAATTTCACTCTCATCAATTTTTTTAACGCGCCTAAAGAAGTATAACTTCAAAAATGTTTAAATAAACAATATCGTATTTTCAATCGTGACAGTTTATATATATATTGTCAAGAATTTTTTAAATCGTGATTTATACATGCTTTAATGAAATAAATAGACTGAATTCGCTTTTCTACTTGACTTTAAAATCTGGCAGGGCATTCAGAATCATATTTTATGTAGAAATGTGGATTTCTATCAGTTTTGACTTTGCTCCGCTGTCATATTTATTATTTTGTGATTTTATGTGCGTGCTCTCTGCTTTTTAAAACGAAACATTATAGTTAAAATTTTAAATATTAGTCGGAAAAAAGTGTATACCTACAATAAGGTACGTAAATATATACCTAAGACTATGCGTTGCTATGTCGAGGTTCTGAATATTGACTAAACTGTATAATACCTATTATTTTTCGTATTTTCAGCAATGCCGATAGTTATGTCAAAAGACGAATGGTCCAAAATAATAAAATGGACTGATTCAAATCGTGAAGATCCCGAAGTGGCTAGACGAAGAGAGTACGTCAAACATTTAAACGAATCCAGTAGGAACATGACCAAGCACTGGCCTAATTCTCTAGAGGTATAACTTTAAGTTATTTAGAAATATATCTTAGATAGGTAAAATGTTAAATATATGATACAGTATAAAGTTGTTTCGCCGTAGCTCAAACTCAGCACCACTGGGTTAAACGCCATGTGTGTTAACCAGTAAGGCATAGGGGCAAAAAATATAATGCTCATAAAATATGTTGTTACACACTTATATTTCAGAATGTAAATAAGCGCAGTGAAGAAGTCCGTCGGGCCCGTATTGAAGCAGCTGAGCAGGCTAACAGCCGCTTCTACCAGCAGTACCTGAGGAAGAAGCGTCAAGAGCAAAGGGAGCTGATGTACAGCGCCAGGGAAACTGTCTTCAAGAACAAAGATGCGCCGAAGTTGCTTTTGTCGTGAGTTGAATATTTTATACTAGCGACCAGCATCCCTGTCCCGTAAACTTTGAAAAATTATTATACATCACATTGAATCATTTTATGTTATTGAAAACCTTTTGGATGGCTTCTTTTTATATAACACCAATGTAAAGCCGGGTATCCACTGTGTTCGCGAACCTCTTGCGCTTCGCGCACTTGCAACAGCTCCGCGTAGTGGATACGTTTGCGAACGTGGAGCGTGAACGGTGCGCGCTCCGCGCTCAGCGCTCAGGGCTCCAATGGGTGGCGGTAAATTGGGCGAACACAAAGGGGAGCTCAGTCTGTTCGTGGACAAGAGGACTGTGGAGCTATGGAGATACGCGTTACCGTCTCCATCAGAGCGGTTACGGGAGCGCGGAGCGCAAGAGGTCGCGAACATAGTGGATACCCGGCTTTAGATATAGGGACGTTGCTGACTTTTATAGGCATTATCAAGCTCTACTACTTTTCGTGGAACTTTATCATAATCTCCCATCGTTATCGCAACGTTCGTAAAGGTGCGCTTACACGAGGGCAATAATTGCTCGGCGACACGAATGGACCGATCTGGAGCAATTAATGGAGCAATTTCAATAAATTCAATACATTATTTCGGCGATATTGCTTCTAATTGCTCCAGATATTTCATATCGCTCAATGTCGCAGATACGAATTGACAAATATCCAATGGACTTGGAAATTCCTAGCAATTTTTGTATATATCTTATTCGCACTTGTTTGTTTTGCGGCTTGCCGTCTTGCTTCCGCGGGGAGAGCGAGAGGTCTAAATAATAATAATTTCTAATTACTTTATTCAAAAGTAATTCAAAGTCTGTTCGTGACATTCTAGTAAAGTTTTTGAATAATATATCATCATCGTGTCGACAGTATTGCCTAGTTGATGAAGTTTCGCCATATCGCTCAATATTGTATTGCGCAGTATTGATGCTTGTTGCCGTTGCCGTAAATTGCTTGATGTAGTCGTGACGTCATAGTTGACGAGTATTGACTGGAATTGAGCAATTTTAGTTGCCCGTGTAAGCGCACCTTTAGAAACGGTTTCATTAGACCATTTTTTCCGACTTTGCACATCCACGAAAGTCTTTTAATTTTTCGTAATCTGGTAAAAGAATTTTCAAAATCGGTTTAGTAGATCCATAGATTACAACCTCACAAAGTTTACTTTATAATATTTGTATAGATTGTTAAAATTGTATACGCTACAAAAAGTCAAAAGTCAAGTTAGTTAAAATAAATTATGGTTTTTATTTGTTTCTGAAAAAAATAATGTATTTTTGGTGACAAATTAGTATAAAAGTATAAGGAATGCGTAACAAATAACGTGATTGGAGCTGTGATATTAGCTTTTAGTTTACCTCGTTTATTTCAAAGACAATATATATAATAGATGCATACAATATTGTGATAAAGTTCTAATCCAGCTACTGTACCAACTAATCTTCGTTAATAATTAAAATAATACTTCTTTATTTCAGAGCAGTAATAGAAACGGCGATACAAAAAGAGCGCCAAGAGCAAATAAAGTTTAATAATGAGTTAAAGAGACTAGAAGATGAGCAGAAGAGGAAAGATGATGATGACATCATACGAAAGGCGAAGGAGTGGCACGAGTTAAACGAACTGCGGAAGAAGAGACGGTTCGAAGTCAACAAGCAACATCAGAAAGAGATTTTAGACCAGTAAGAGATTTTTGTTCTTATGGCTCAATGGTTAATTCAATGGCTCTGTTTATTCAGTCGGCAGCTCATGTCTGAGCGTCGTGGTCGGCAAGAAAACATCTGGAGCAGACAATCTGCTTCTGTGCCTCTCTTACAGTGTATAGTTTTGAAGTCTTTCGGTTGATCGGTCCATCTGATTGGTGAACGGCCATGTGATCTTTTGCCTTCTGTGTTACCAACCGCGATCAGTTTCTCCTACTTCTCATCGCCTCTGCACCATTGTATGGCCGAAATATAATATTATTCGTTGTCGGCTGCCGAGTCCGTATGTGGAATTGGGTCAAGATGAATTCAAATTCAAATTCAAAAATCATTTATTCAATGTATTGGTGCGCTTCGCAGTCCACGGTATTCAATGGCAGGAATCATCAAAGACTTTATCTGTTAAAAAAATACAACCTTTTTTGATTAAGTGTCCATATTACATTATCTAAAAAATGACAATAAAAATCAAAAATTTTGACAGAAACGTGTTTTTTTTAGAGCTCATGAAGTGTCCGAACGCAATCGTATAGAATACGAGTCAGAACTGGAGATGCAGAAGGTTGACAACATAAAAGCCAACGAGCAGATGGAAGAACTTAAGAAGTTTGAGGAGGAGTTCGTGAGTATTAAAATATTTATAGTCTTCTAAAAGAAGTGGAATTCTAATGGAATTGGGTTAACGATCACCAATTTTTCTAAACGTATCTATCCATTTTAACTTTTCGAAATAAGTATTACGACAATCTAGAGGCCTTTTTCCTTAATTTAACTTGGAAGTGTAAATATTTATTCAGAAATGATATTGACTATTAATCAACGCTTAAAGAGACGAGATTTCTCTTGGATAGCAATCCATTTTTTTAAACTCCATATTGCTTTAATTGAGTTTTTAGAATTTTTAAGTTCGATGAATCCTCTAGAAAACCGCTGAAAAGGGCCGAATCCTATCAGACATGAGGCGAGCCCGTCAGGAGTACGAGCGCCGACGCAAGGAGGCCGAAGCGAGGGACAAGTGCGACGACAAGCTCATCCAAGTTCTGCAGAAGGCCACCGCCAGGGTCGCACGGAGACGGAAGCAGACCGAGAGCGATGTCTGTATTAGAACATTTTTCTTAATTGGTTGTGTCAATCTCTAATTAATTTATTTACTGATCTGCGGCTGCACCAGCTTGGGCGTCGTTTACTATCTATCTCATTGACCATTCTGAACCCCCAACTTAATTTTTGCGATACTTGCTCGGTCTATCGTAGTGGGATTTTTTCTCTTTCATGCCGATAACATGGTCTTGAACTCTAGTTGAAAGCAGAGAAGTTGCGGGTGCTGGAGGCGATCAGCAAGAAGCTTGAGAGCGGAGATGCGGCGCGAGAGGCCCTGGAGAGCGAGCACCTGCAGAAGGCCATTCGGGAGAAAGAGGCTGCGTGAGTGCTTTGTTTTACCTTTTTCTTTTTATTAAAAATAGCCCCTATATGTGAGTATCTTTCAGAGCGGACGCCCGCCGAGCGGCAGATGCCCGAAAGAGAGAGAAGTTCATAGCGGAGAGGAAGGAAGTGAGGGAAGCCTTCCTCAAAAAAGAAGAGATGCGAATACACGAGTTCAACACCATGAGGCAGTGGGAGATCATGAACAGGTTCTTACCTGACCAACATTAAATTGTTTTTTGAAATTACTCTATTTGAAAATTCATCAGTTCTTTTCTAGCTGTAAAAGTGATAAGTGGAGTGATGTGGGTGGCCTCTTAAACAGTTGCTTCATTTTAGATTTAAAAATGCCGAGCTCTACGAAGACTTCAAAGAAAAGTTGAAAGAAGAGAAGGAGAGGAAAATAAGAGAGTATCGCGAAGATATACTCAAGTTGTGGGTGAGTCTAGGCAGTCACTTCTATACAGTTTTTATTCTTTTATTTATTGTGTCGTGTTCGATTTCCGGTGGTAGTGCAAATTATAATGAAATTTCACCTTTTCAGAAAGAGCGTGACGAGCGCGAGGCCAAGGAGCGGGCGGACACGCGCTACTTCTACGGCGAACTGGCCGAGAAGAAGCTTCGAGAGGCGGACAACAAGCTGCTGACTTTGGGCGGAAAGCTTTTGGACGAGGCTCGGGAGCACCAGCGGCCGGAGTACGCGCTGCACAGGGCGGTCGATGTGAGCCATCTCTATTGTTGTTGACCCCCTTGCATGCAGATTTTAAAATAGTCTTAGATAGTGACTGACCATAACATACTTTGTCTTCCTTGTCCCATTTTTGAAAAATTTAAATCGTTAGTTCCGTATTCCCTAAATGGGCTTTTTATTAGGCTTTTGTGCTTACGTACCTACCCGAGAAATTCATGCACCAAGAATGGAATCCGGGAATTTCAGAGTATTTGCTAAGTATTTGCCATTTCTTAGTCAATATCTTGACTGCATATTGTATCAGTCTCTTCTCACAACAGCGTAATTTCTCGAGTACTTCAGCTAGAAGCATCGCCCCATGAAGACGTTCTCTATAAATAACTTTTGTTTTAGCGCTACTGCAAGCAATACCGCCTGTACCCGATGCCGCCCCTACCCAGCTCCTTGCAGGAGCACTACGGGGACTACTCCCCGCGAGACGTGTCCAAGCCGGACCCGGACTACTGCTACCCTGCTCCCCCGGCCGACGAAGTGGACGGCAAGAGGGATGGCCTGCGGTCCACTCAGGTAATAGGTTTAAATTTATTGTATTATTAAACATCAGACATCAGTTTATTTAAGTAAATTAACGTTTCAGCCTGTCGCTGGTCCTTCGAAGCCGGAACAGCAACAACAAGAGCCCGTGGCGGACTACAAGCGCAAAGGACCCGCTAATGGGCTGCAGACGAAGCCCGTGAGTTATTCTCTCTAGATTCAGATTAAAATGTAACATCTAAATTCTAAAGTATATTTTCAACAAAAATAATGACACAATTCGTGTCGAAAGTCCAAAGACGTAAGTGATAAGCGTCTCGAGATATCAATGTGTCTAACGGGTACGTCACAAGGAGTCGTCGTCCGTGCCGTCACTTCGTATGCCCACAGCTAGGACTAACCATCTGATAAGGGCACAAATGATTTCGCTCACTTTTATAGGTCGTGGAGTGAACTAACAAAAGTTCTATTATTTATTGGTGCCTATAGTAGTTAGTTAATATTTTTTATTTTTTATTCTATAATTTTGTTTTCCCTAAATAATTTCTTATGTTTGTTTCATCTGGTAGGACAGGTGTGTTTTTATAATTAATCAAATAAAAAATATTTAAATTTAAAAAAGGTAAAAAGTTAAATCAGATTTCCCCTCCGAAGGGTTCTTTGCCGAAGCTGGTCCCCTGCAAGACCGAGGCCTGCCGTTGCGAGCTGAAGAAATAAAACGCAGACTTACAAAATACTTTTATTTTTTACTTTTTGAACATATTTTAACAAAAGTATGGCACGATGGAGCTGTGACTAGATGATGTGAAATTTTCAAATAAATTTTCGTTGGGTATGTTTGTTTGTTTGTCTTAATCTAAGTATCTTTGGTCACGTTGAGTGTAATTGTAGCAATTATAATGTATAAACTAAGGGTGAACTCACTATAAACCTTCGAATTCTTGCAGGGTCATGACAAACGAGTAATTAAACATTTGAATTCCTGCATGGTCATGACAAACCATTAATTAGTTATCGGAGGCTTATAGTTTGTTTTTAACTGTCAATTTTATTTTGTACATAACGATTGCAGTTCGTGCAGTGGATTCCGTAGCTCTTAATATAAATTTCACATCGTAATTAAAAATAGTTGAATACAGATAACAAAATAATGTCAATTGTCAATAAAGTCGTGTAATACTTTTTGCTTTGGCTTACTCTACGTATTGTCTATTGATAGGAAAATTATGGCAAAGGTGAATTTGTATATGGTACTTCGATGGCAATTACAATAGAAAAAAATAACCCGCATATTACTACGAGTATAAGTTTAGGAATTCAAATTGTTCGGTAGCAAATGATTTATAATGAAAATATATCTCTGACAACATTAAATAGCACGTAGAAAAATAAGACGAAGCCATCTCGATATGTCTCTGGTTAATATTGCCAGTTAAGAAGTACCAGAACTTAATTACTAAAAATTTACAAATCTTAAAGCTAACTATTGGAAAACAGATAATCTCCTAAATTTTCTGAAAAATAAATGTCGGTTTTCGTGGAACGTTCGAATGTGTCGCTCGGAATCGGTCGGACTCGACTAAAGCCCCGTTCTAAAGCTCGACTTACAGAGTTTACTTTTTGTCAGAAAAAGAACGGAGAGACTTAACCTAACTTGTACTTTCGTGCGTCCATCACTAAAATATTTAGGGCGTTTATACACGCGCGACCGAGTTCATTCAGAATCTACTAGCTCATATTACTTTATAAAATTTATAAAAAAAAAAGTTCATTAACAAAACGGGTCGCCGGTGTATAAACTCCATGGCAAGGTTTCGCTTAAAACTTAAAAAAAAACGTATAAACAATAAGGTTCCGTGCACACTGAATTATTTTCTACCGTCAATTTGGTCAATCTGAAGTCTACCCTCGTCACAATGTCAATTTCTTCCAAACATAAAATACCTCCAGGGCACCCGTAGACCATCGTGATAGTTTCGGTGACACTTACATTTACACGTTCACACGCACACATAGGCGGATAACGACATAGACTAAAATAAATTAAGTAACACAATAACTAATTTTGGCACTAAACTAATTCTAAACTAATTTGTGATGGAAATGGCCGGTCCTTAATATTAAAGTACCGATTTGTAACTCGGCTTAGCACGCAAATATCGTGGCCACGTTAGGCTAAATAAATAATCTTTGTTTTATCGATGGGAGACAGTTAGAGAGCGTCAATTGGTTAAACTAAATACACAGCCTTAACCGGTAATAAGGCCTCGAGTTCCAGTGGGACTTGGGAGGGACGTCCGAAGTAGAGGGCCGCTCGGTCAAGGCACGTCCTTGTCCGCGGTCCGGCCCAAACACCTGCCGACGGCATCCAATCTGTTCGAGTACGCCGACGCCGCTTCGCCTCGAGGAGAGCTGGGATGGGAAATTGTTATTAGACTACATTTGTGGCTTCTAAATCTAAGTAATAAAAGAGTTATTTAACATTAATGTAAATGAAATCATTCATCAGATTATTATCAAATCGATAGATTTATATAGATATTACAGAATCGATAGGTAGATAGTTTAGAAAACCTGAAATACCTGAGAATGAACCTCGCGTCCCGAGGCGAGTTGAATCCAGAGCGGCGATCGTTCTCTTCTGCAATAATTTATTGTTTTTGTGAGCACAAACTATTAAAAGTCATAAAATATTGATATCAGGGTTACAGAAGAGAGAAAACTGTGATGCTACCACTGTACGCTATTACTTCATAAAATTCCATCGAAAACGCAAGCGTATTTGGAACTGGTCCACTGCTACTGTTTCCCGTAGCTTAGGAGGCGAACTGACTCACTGCGAAATGAATTGAAGTGAACCAAAATATAGCTACTACGAATATACCTAACTGAATTTTTAATACCGGCTGTTGTTTCGAATGGAACTTAGTCCAAAGATTAAAGTGTCAAACACTATCATTGTGTCAGTGGAGTAAATATGTAAATTATTTTAATTAAAAACAACTCACCATATTCTCGCGGCAAGTCCATAAAATCGTGTCTGACCAATCCCGCCGCGAGCGGACTGGCCCGTATGGGCGTCCCCAAGTTGAGCGCACGCGCCCTCGTGAGCGTCTTGGACAGGGGCGTGCTGTACGTGTGTGCGTGAGTGGGAGTGTGCGTTTGTATCGGTGTAGGTGCGTCGTGAACGTCCCGAAGTAAGCACGCGGCGGCCACCGATCGCACGTGGTGACGTCTACGTACGAGGTATTGCATACGTATCACTGTCACTACGACGCGCACTATGCACCTGGAAATGGAAAATATAAAACCATTAATACAAAATAGAATTATTTTTAAGACCAATTATTCAACATAATAACTTATCGTTTAATTTACAATAAAGCCAATATATCAACTTTAGAAAAGAATATAACTTTTACCTAAATCGTCTCTTTCCCGAAAGTTGTGGGGTATTAATGTGACCGGCCGGTGTCAGACTTCTCTCGATCTCCTGGAAACCAGTCACCACTCTTTGCAAATATCTCTTCTGCCACACCAACGCCTTCCGCCAGCTCTCTAGCCGCAGACAACGACCTTGGAGGTGCCGGATCTGAAAGTATTTTTTTTTAAACTGAATCATAAGAAAATACGAGTCTCCTAAACATCTTTATTCTTAAGAATTAGCTAAAGATAGTATACGGAAATAACAGCCATGATAACATCAAACATGGAATTATTTTCCTTCCTTAAGTTTGGTGCACGATTTAAAGTAAAGCCGCTTGGGTTACTGATGTAAACTTCTTGCTTGAAACTATCAGCTATCATTGTCAAAGATTTTCTCTTATTTCAGTTACTTATAAAAACAATTCTAAATATTAGATCTAGTCGACCTTGCAGTACCACCTATCGGGCCACTGGTTATGTCAATTTTAAAATCGCAAATGGTTTGGAATTTTAAAATAGCGTGGGTCACCACATAACATGGCTTTTGTGCTAAAATCGTGGGATACAAGAAAAACTATTATTAATGAACAAAAATCGAATTATATTATTATTAAAAATTAGGTATACAATCTCTTTAGTAACGAAATGTCAGGTTAATTTAAAAGATATTCTAAAAGAGAAAGCTGTCACACGTCATATTATTTTCCTTTCAGTTGACGTCGGGAAAACTCGCGAACTATTTTTAACACATTTATTTTTTTACAAAAATTCCGCTGTTTTAGAATGCTTATATAATTTCTAGAACTATAATTATGGAATCTCCGAAGCCAGAAACGCCCAAGCTGCCGGATATGGTGTAAGACAGGTTTTTTAACGTTAACTCGATAGCTTTTCCAAAATATAGTTTGTGGTTTAAAATTAGAATTAAAACGTAATTATTTTTAAAATAACTTTACTATAGGAAGTTGAAATTGCGCAGAATGTGCGGAGACCACCCGTCCGTCACGAAGACGGAGCTAAACGTAAAAGAGGGAGCCCTCGAGGACAATGATAAGAGACCGTCCTCGTCCTTCGCTAAACTTTCACCGACGGTATTCGAATTACTATGTTTATATTAGATTTATATAAAGTGGTGTAAGATAAATACGTAATAATTATTAGATTTAAATATTGAGCTGCACCATGTAATTTCAAACTCTAAGGAGCACCAAAGCTAACTATTCACTGGCATTAAGTCAAGCGATGAAATCAAAGTACTCCTTTCAGCCGTCTCGAACGGAGAGGTCGATATTATCATCCGAAATGAGAGCGCGCACAATGTCGGAGCACGCACTACGCGCAATGGAGGCACGGCGACGCACCGGCACGGAGGCACATCAACGTTCGGATGGCGACCCTTTACACGCTAATCGTGCGCTCATACAAGGTTTTTGCCGATTTCTTTTCAAAAATACGCTCGCTATTTACTCTTCTTTTAATTAATAAATAAGACAGGTCAGGACCGAGAGAAACTCTATAATATAATGTTTCTCAGCGGCGTTGGGCAGTTTCCGTTGGCCGCCATACTTGGTGTGCGTGTGGGTGCTGGTGCTGCTGGTCTCCCATCTCCTGCACTGCCTCGTGGGCATCCTGGAGAGGGCCTTGCCCGCCATCTAGTGAGTCTTTCGAATACCTGGATTTATTCACTTCTATCTGTATGTTTTATTATTATTAAACTCGGTTTATTTTCAGCAAATTCTGCCAATACTTCCGAGCGTGGACAGAGGACAGTTGGCGCAACGAGAGCGACGTCAACGGCCGCCTTTATCCGATCGGTCTCGCGTGCGTCACCGGCCTTCTGTACGTCCTCTATTGCGTCTTGTATCTGTTGTACTCCGTGACCTTGTGGGCCGTGGAACCGTTGTGCACGGACACCGAAGAGAAGCCGAGCACCTTCGATGTGCCCAAAATAACCAACTACATCGACGAAATACACAGCAAAACGAACGCAACAATTAAATCTTGATATTTTACTAAATTATATTTTTTTTACAGTAATTTGTTCTTTTATTTAAGGGATTTAAAAAGAAGAGAAGAAAAAAGTGCGTGCGTACAAAGTACACATGTCAGAAGTGAAACTTGTTTGGCAAACTAATTTTTAAGTCTTGTTCATATTTATACAAATCTAAAACTTTAGATTTCCGACAGTTAGAGGGAGGGAAAAAGGAAGATATGTTAGGAATTTAATGAATTTAATTGTCATTACAATATTAAAAGTGTCGAAAATTAATACAAATAATAAATTTTTATTTTATTTCTTCGATAGTAAAAACACGCATTTTAATTTACAATTCGTCATTTGAGATTTCAATAAATTATTTTGCATAAAATATAATAATACTAATATTTCATAAATCCTCTACGAAATTTTAATTTTAAATATAGAATTTCTCTCAATCGGTCTCAATCGCTCACTCCCTTTTCTTCTACAAAAACGCTGCACATCTTCGTGACGTTCCGAAAAACGTTTACCCTCTTGCGCCTAAAGAAGTTTCACTTCAAAAAGAGAAGTGTATGTCCACACGTCGGGTCAACAAACGCTCACCCTAAAAGTTTAAATCGACAGACTCAGCTCCGACTCATACGTATAGGTTTTGGTCGATCGAGCTTTCATGTCGAGTAAAAACCATGGCATGGGGCTTTCGTCCACATATTCAGGAGTATCTATCGAGTGACGCGCACCGTTCGAGCCAAAACATGTCTGTTCAACAAAGGAGACGGTGGCTACATTTAGCAAGTCTTGCAGTTCTTAATTGTAAAAGAAAGAAAATGAAAAGAGGAAGTACTGGGTTAAAGATTGGTTAGGTCGCCCACTGATTACAGCCACGTGAACTTGATTAAAGAGCTGTGTCCCGGAGATTATAACAATTATTGAAGGATGCCTGAAGTGCTAAATCGTGTTTTCACGACGATCAACAACGTCAGACTGACGCTCGCGGCCACGTACGCTCACGCTCGATGCGAGCCTTCGAGCTGTGACTTTTGCGGTCTACACGTTAATATTCACTCGTTTTGTAGTAAAACTATCGTGTGTGAGTACGGAGCTTTAGACAAACGAGTATCTTAAATTACGCAACTAATTCTTAAATCTTCACGGAGTTGAAAAATATCAAACACTTACGGCGTGTTCCTTTTCGTCGTTAGGGATTGGAGTCCTGACGATTTGAGGCCGAGGGCTTTCCATCAGGTAGCGGGTGTCGTCCAGATCCTGGAGACGCACAAGACACATCATCATCATGGACAACAAACAAGCAATAGCTCGACTCGATTAAGCAAAAGAAAAGTATTTACCGCAGGCTTCTGCAGCTTGTGAACGGCCGACAGCTCCTGCTTGAGCTGCGAGATGGCGGAGTTCTGGATGCTTAACAGCTCTTTAGCCCTCACCAGCTCCACGCCCGTTTCGTGCTTTAACCTGGAAATAAAATAAAATACACTCTCATCTCACTCCCTATTATAATTATTCATTAAATAAAATTGTAAAAGCCTTACCTCCTTAGTTCGGCGAGTTCAGTCTTAAGTTGGACACACATCTGCGTCCGCGCATCTCCTTCCCTCTGCGCCTGCGCACGTATCTGCTCGATCAAGGACTGCAGCTCGTTGTACCGAGTGCGCTCCATCTCTAATTTAGACTTTAGCACTCGCACTTCACCCTTTAGACGACCCACGTTTTCGACCTGAAGGCAGGCCAGGTAACTCTTTACAAAGCATTTTCCACTATGCTTAATTTTTTTTAAATAAATTGTCTCTGCACAAAGACATCATTTAACATTACGATTTATTTACCAAAAAGGATTTAAAACATTAAACAAAATTTTCTTCGCGATTATGTAAAACATGTTCCATCTCTGGAGGACATCCGGGAATATCCGTAAAGAGTAAAAATGTCAGATGAAAAACTCTATTCATATATTCGATAAACCATATTAATGACTTATTATATCAAACAAAAATGTCACCTCGACGGCGAGTCTATCGTCATTGCTGTCATCCTTGGTCCTGGCTTCGAGATGCTGGATCCTGTTCATCAGCTGCTGCTCTTTATCTCTCAGCTCCAACTCCGACTTCATGGCGCTCTCCAGGCGACGCTTAAGCATCGAAATCATACTCGAGTCTTGTTTCTGAAACGCGAGCGGAAGATGAAGATGAGCGTCATCCGAATTGACTCTTGAATCGACCAGGAAACAACCTCACCTGCAACGCCGTGGCCGTGTCCTTTTGGGCATCGAGAAGCAGCTGAAGTCTCGCAGAGTTGTCTCCGAGAGCTTCCTCTCGCAGCCGAAGACCTTCGCACTCCGAACTCAGCTTCTCTCTTATCCTTAAAGAACAATTATATTTTTAATAAATTAGCCAAAGGCTTAATAGATCTGAGTTGTGTTCGGGTCTGAGTATTGTACCTTTGCAGTTCCCCAATGAGGGCGTCCTTGTCTTCCAGCCGCGCCTGAAGGTTGTCCACCTGCATCTGCAGCCTCTCGCACGAGGCCTTGAGGCGGCCGAAACGCTCGCTGGACGACGACTGCACGCTGGAGGACCTGAAAAGAGGTTCCCGTTAAACTGAGACCTAAGTCAACGATTCCGATGACTAGAGATTTGCCACTCACTTGGAGGAGTCGAGAGCCAGACGCGGAATATCTTCTCTGTCGTCGCTGCTGGCAGATAATATCTGAAATTCAAAAATATCTTAAGTCAACTGCCAGCTTCTTGCGTTATGAACTTTATGTAAATATGTCTTCATTTAATACAAGTAATATATATCTTGACATAAAAAAGAATTCAAACTCGTATGTGATACCACTTGCATCTCTTCTTGTTGATAAAAGAAGATATTGGCACTTATGAGAATATGCTCAATGAAGAGTTTTTGATAACCTAACCGAGGCTAGAAAAATTTATTCGCAAACATAAAAAATATATATATTTCAATTAGATTGCTCTTCCAAATTTATCAAAGATGAGCCCACCTGTTCCATGATGTCCTCGTCCAAGGTCCGCGAGTGGTGAACCTGCTGCCTCAAAGCCCTCTCCAGCTCCGCAGTAGGAGATCGAGCCCCGTCGCGTTGCTCCACGCTCAGAGACATGGGCCCGCCGCGAAGCCTTGGATTTCCAAACGTATGTATTATTTAAATATTGCTTTTAATGGTCTGTACTTTATAATGCAAACAAATGAGTAAATAATACAGGAAAGAAAATTCAATTTTCAATTGCCCTCACCTCTCAACGAGATCTCTCATGTTCTCCAGCTCTGACTCAAGCTCTCGACATCGCTCCGCTTTTTCTTTCAGCTTCTGTTTCAATTCGCCGATGTTGCCCTCTTCTCGTAACCTGAATTAAATAAAGATAATTTAAAAAAAACATTATTATGGTGAAAAAATTTTAATTAGATATTTTAAATATGCAAACACACCTAGCCAAGACCATCTCCAGTTGTTGCGCAACATGCTGCTTCTCTTCTTGCAGCTGCCTGACTTCTTTTTCCATCTCCTCATTCTTAGACATCGTCTGCTCTCGATTCACCTCCAGTTCTGCAGCCCTCTTGTTGGCTTGGCTGAGGTTGCTCTTCAGTTCTGTCACGTCTAACTTCGCTTTTGCCAGCTCGAAGGCCTGCAAGACGTGATATGTAATGAAAACATATGTTTTAATATTATATTGAATGTAATGAAACGACTTTTTAATGATAATTTAGTTAATTTTAATTTGTTGTTATTGTTCAAAACGTATCACACTTTACATATATAAAGTTATTTAAAAAAAAATTACCAATGTAATCTTAAGTGACTACTCGGTGATCAGGCGCGTGAGCCTTCCTAACCCAAAGGATTATTCTTTTGTTATTGTAAGCAAACAAATTATATCGAAACGTCAAATAATAGTACACGCACCTTGTCGTTCAGCTCCTTCTTATGAAAATCTAGCTCATGTTGCATTAGGGATATTTGTTTCTTGATCTTTGCGAGTTGCTTCTTGTCATTGTTGGCTTGTCTGTCGCCGGTCCGTTTCTCCTCTCCGTCCTTGCTCCTCGGGGATGGGCTTCGGGAAGCCATCTTTAGCTGCTCCTTGAGGGCCGCGATCTCGTTGTGATACGAGCTTATATCTTCATTCAATATCTCTATTTCGGTATTTTTATCTTTCAGCTGTTCAGTCAAAAGTTTAAGTTCCTCGATCTTCGCCGTTAGATCATTGTTTAAGCCGTTGACGCGTTCGAGTTCGCTTTCGCTGTTCTGAAGTTTGAGCGATGCGTTCTCTTGTTCCTTTTCTAGTTTGGACAGATTCAGTTTGAGCTCCTTGTTCTCAGTGTTGAGTTGATCGTTTTCTTCGACGACTTTGGTGATATCTCGGTTCAGACCGAGGATAGAATCTTGCACTTGGAATACTTCTGTTGATTTCTTTTCTAATGCGACCTTTAGAGTTGCCGCTTCCTCAGTTTTATCATTTAAGCGTCGTTGTAAGTCGTCAAGTCTGTCGAGGTGTTGATTTAAACTGTCAATTTGTTGGTTCTTTTCGGACACGAGTTGCTCGAGCCTATGAAGTTCGATTAATTTCTCTCTCAATTGTTGGTTTTCTGATTCACTTTTTTCTAAAACTGAATTTTTGTTTTGCAATTCGTTTATACGGACTTCCAAGTCCGATATTTTCATAGTCAAATTGCGTTTTTCTTTTGCAAGTTCGAGTATCATGTTTTCTCTCCTCAGTATGTCTTCTTTGAGTAGGTTCAGATCTTTAGTCTTCTCGCTAACCTCTCGATTCAATTCGGAAAGTTTTTGTTCGAGGTGATTTTTATTAGATGCAAAGTTTTCCAATTGACTTTCATAAAATTGTTTGTCCTTCTCCATCGTCGCCATCGTGTTTTCTAACAAACCCTTTAATTCCTCTACCTCTTCTTTTAAAGCTGGGAACTCGCCCAATTGTTCTTCTGCATTTTTGAGCTCCGATTTACAATTTGCAAGTTCCGTTTGGGATTTTTTAACTTCGTGCTTCAATTGAGACAAAATATCGGGAAAGTTCTCTTGTTTCATATCTACAGTGATGCCGAGTTCTTCCAAAGACGTAAATTCGTGACTCTTATGGTCCGACACCTCCAACGAGAAGTTTATCTTTTTGGGTTCAACGCTAAGATTATTACTGATACTAGCGTTTTGGTTGGGATATAGCGAACAATTGTCGGTTATTTTCTGAGCGGTGGAATGTTTAATGTTATCGCCGAATCTATCGATAGTTCCAAACACGGTCGTTTCATTTGCGTTCCTTTTAAATTTATCTTTGTTCGGGGTAAAAGTGAAATTGACCGGAAGCGAATCGGCTCGAGGCGTATGTAACTCGAAATTGTCTACATTTTCCGCATCCAATGAACTCACATCGGGCCTCTGCACGTCCGGGGGCAACGTCTTGTTCTGCAATTTGTCTCGTGGAGCGCCCGTAAAGCTAGCGTTTTGGTTCTTCAGCTCGGCTCGACGCATCTGTAGGTCTTGCTCGTCGTAATCCGAAATCGATACAATATCGCTGAGCGTCCGTCCCGATGTTTTTCCTTCGACATTATCGCTTTTTTGATTCGGTTCTTCTTCCAATTTGAGAGCTGAGAATGAATCACGGTCTGAATTAGAGGCCCGGTCTAGACACATGTTAGAGTTAACCTATATCGACGTTTGGAGGGTCGCCAAAACGCATCGTAAAGTCAATAGTACTAGAGTAGTGTGCATTTATACGACAGGTTACAAATACTACATGTAGAACAACTCTTATTCTATACATTAAGGTTTATTAATTATTGAAAGTTAGAACACCTAATGAAATATTCTTTTTCGATTTAATATAAAGTAAAACTTGTTTAGATATCTTTGACTTATATCGTTATTTACATGATCCATAGTGAATAACAGTTTTGGGTTGAAAACCCCAGATAGGTGAACAGTGATCTCGAACAGTTAGGGTAACTTTTAACTGATGTAACTAAAAACCAAGTAAATATGCAATATACCCATAATCTGATTCAGCTGTTCCTCCTTATCCAGAAGCAGAGCCTGATGCTCCTTTTTTTCGTTTTGCAGCTTTTCATTCTCCACCTGCAAGTGAGAAGCGATGTCCTCTAACTGAGCGATACGCGCCTGCGCAGTGGACAATTCGCGTTCAAGAATTATAACTTTGTCTTTGGGATTACCTGAAAACGAAATAACAATGATAAAAACGAAAATCGATTCTTATTTAATCGATAAAAATTAAATAAAACTTTTATAATGGCTACAAAAGGGCACACGTACACCCCCTCACTTTTTCACCATCACACAACACAGCCGAATTAGGTTTTAAGTAGTTAAATGTACCTATTTAATAATTTTTATTGATTTTTTCCTTCAGTAAATGTTTGAACCTTTTTGTATACATAATGTTTTCCTTCTTTGGCTATATCTTTGATATAATTGTTTTTTTGTATTTTACGATTACGAAATAAATTAATAAACAGTTTAATAACCTTGAAAAGTGACACTGATTTAAGTTGAGGATAGGTTCCTATTTATTTACTTAAAAAAACATTAGTGTGTAAAGGTTACCCCACACAGTTAATGACTACCTAGAAGACAAAAACGCGTGGCAATAGTTCTAGTTATATTGTTATAATTTGTTTTTTGTTATCTTTGTAGTGTTGTTTACTTATGTAACTTTAATGACGTTGTGGTTTATGACATTTTCCTTTGAATAATTGTAATAGAGGGAGGGTAAAAGTTGTTGAGTTTCTTGAGGCCTCCTGGTAGTTTTGCGACGGATGGCGTATAGTCTTGCTCTTTCGCGAATTTTGTAAACGTTTTTGACATGCATAAGCATGCGCTAATACGCATCTAAACTGAATAAACGTATTTTGATTTGATTGTTTTATTAATGTTGCATTAAAATGACATATACAGTCATATAACAAACTACTATGAAGGCAACGGGCGGTATTATCGCTAACAAGCGATGTCTTCGAGACAATCCTAGTAAGGAAAGATAAATACGGATAAAGTGCATAACTACATTAACAAAATTAGGATTACTAGACAGTTGCTTAAAGACACACTTAGTTGACTTTATTTACGTAAAACAACAATAAAATTAAAGTTGGCCTTTACCTTATATATATTAAACAAGTTTTTATTAATAGAACTGGCATGAACCATAGACACGCCAGACTGGCATGTACCATAGAGTATTACATATATCGTAAAATTATTCATTGAATTAATAAATAGTATGTTTGCCAAATTACGATGCAAATAAGTTAATTACGGTATACAGTAAAAATATTACTAATACTTGTCATGTCTTATAGGAGTATTAATATACAAAGAAAAAATAGAGATTGATTAATATAATTATTAAACTTTTTAATAAATTTAAATGGTAACAGAAAAATACATACAAGAATTCCCGTATATGGCTGCATGTGAATCACTAAGTTTGTCTTTTTCGTCAAGGTTTTGCTTCAGTCTAGATAATTGCTTGTCCCGCGATTCCAGCTCTTCCTTAAGTCTTTGAACCTGAAAGTGTCATTATATTAAAATAAAGCTAACTTTTGTGAGCACGTTTACCAACCAACATGAACATCATGTTTGTATTGTAGTCAACTTTTTTAGTTTTTAACTATAGGCATGTAAATTAAGAAACAATGTCAAAATTGAGAATTACTGTACAGTTCAAATTTAGTTAATTCAGCCGGTTTAAACGAATAACAGCCAAAAGTGTGTCATGACGCCATAAGCGTTGGTCATAATAGAATTAACAAATTGCCGGTGACCTTTTTTATATTAGCTGACATCAAAATCAAGGTCTTTAAATGTACCATTTTTATTTCATAATTTTCATATAATTATGAAATGTGAAAGTTACTAATTATAATTAATTAATAATTAATTACTAATATTACTTACTGCACACAAATACCTTTCTAAAATATTACCTCTGCCTGTGCATCATGGAGCTGGACGCTGAGCTGGCTGGAAGCAGTATGAGCGAGAGCCTCCGCATCATTCCTATGCTGCTGCAAACGAGCAGACAGGGATGATATCTTCAGCGCCTGCTCTGACATACGGGCCTGCAGTACATCACGTTCCGCACGGACCTCCTGGAGGAAAAAATTAAAGATAGAGATTCAAATACTATTTGATCTTAAATGACATTCATCACAGACAGATCTTGATAGTATTTTCCACTTAACCATCAAGAAAACGCGAACTTTAATAGTTAAGAAAAAACAAAAAAACCTTCCTTCTCTCTTCGTGTCAGGTATTACATCCCAGATCAGTAAGAATAGACATAGACAAAAACATACCCAGCCTTCAAATATATTATTGCCTCAGAAAATGCGGAATTACTTTAAATTTATACATCTAACACGTCTCATCTAATACTTGGAACAATTCCAAATCGTGTTTAGATTTTTCTGAATGAAAGTCGCAGAATCTAATTTTATATATTTGGTAACGCAACATATTGGTATCATACTAAGTTTCGCAGAAGGTTTCCGATTTCCAGAATTTATACGACTTTGACTCAAAGGTTTTTATAATAGGCGCGCAATCTTGTAAGTTCTACACACTGTTTAGAATAATATACAGTAATTCCATCCATAACGCTGTATACCCAGACCGCGTTATATTAAATCGCGATGTAGGAGAAATCTCATAAAACCGTTTTTTTGCACGAGTCAAAAACTAGGAATACGAATTTAATAAAGTTATTTAGTTTAATGTTATAACAACACAATTGAAACAGTTGCAAAGGTACGCAAAAATAATTATGAACTTGACAAATCATTATAAATTTCAGCGTTATATACAGCGGGAAATACCGCATTATGGGGGACGTAAAACGCGTTATAAGGGGATTACCTTTATAGGGGGGATCACTGTACACGTAATTCCTTTTGCCTTTACATTACACTCTGCGTAATATTTAAGTAAGAACACTTTAAATCTGGCAATACAGAATGAGAATCTTCTTACAAGGAAGCACAGAATAAACACAATCTCTATATAGGTCACAACAAAACTAACCCGTAATTGCGTTAACTGACAAATTAACCGTACAGTAAATCTGACAAACTACCGATGTGTTTAGTTGCAAGTTAAATATAAACTCGAACTATTTTACGAGCTGAAAGATCACTAGAACGATGACTAGAATCGACCTTAGTTATTTTACTGCAAAGTCCGGAAACAATCTATCTTTACACAAACAATGACTACAACCTCAATTGTAAATATTTTTTTTTTTTAAATAGAAGAGGGGGCAAACGGGCAGGAGGCTCACCTGATGTTAAGTGATACCGCCGCTCATGGACACTTTCAATGCCAGAGGGCTCGCGATTGCGTTGCCGGCCTTTCAAGAATTGGTACGCTCTTTTCTTGAAGGACCCTAAGTCGAATTGGTTCGGAAATACTTCAGTGGGCAGCTGGTTCCACAAAGTGGTGGTGCGCGGCAAAAACTGCCTTGAAAAACGCTCAGTTGTGGAGCGGCGGACGTCGAGGTGATACGGGTGGAATTTCGTACTCTGCCTCGACGTCCGATGACGAAACTCAGCTGCAGGTATTAATCCGATCCGAATATATACTTAAAAGTAACTTTTAATTGAAAGATTATGATTTAAATAAAAAAAAATACAAATATTTTTAAACTTATTACATATAAAAAGAAGAGAACTTTCACATTATAAATCTACATTGTAATAATAATTGATAAGAGCCGTGTTGGGCTAGAGGCTTCAGCATACGACTCTCATCCCTGAGGTCGTAGGTTCGATTCCCGGCTGTGTACCAATAGACTGTCTTTCTATGTGCTCATTTAATATTTGCTCGAACGGTGAAGGAAAACATCGTGAGGAAACCGGCTCGACATGTGTCAGGCACAGGAGGCTAACCACCTACTTGCCTATAAGATTCATTACATAAAATCTGAAATCCAGCGCCACTGATTTATTTATTTTGGTTATTACCAAATTATTAAATTATTATAATAATAATTAAAAATTGAGAAATAGACACAACTCTTCGCTTCCCTCATTCAACTATTTCTACGTCAGTCGAATTACACAAAACAACATCAAATTTACCTTCTTTATTGTTTCGTTATATGATACTCAACTGCACTTAAACAAAACCCTCTAATATATTAATATTAAATAATTTCACACAACAGGTTTCACTGTTGAGATATTTTTTATTTTATTTTACATTTATTTAATCTTATTTTTCACCTGTTTACTGTTAATGTGATGTGACAATTATTTGTTATTGTGGTGTAAATAAAGTGTTCTCATTATTACATAACATAGTGATCTTACACTAACTATAAAAAACACCTTTAGTAGCATTATTACATGCTAATTACAAAGTAATGAGCGCCAGCCACTGTTATCTAAAATTAATAAAGAATAAAAACAGCTTGCCACGAGAAAATCTACTATTGGAATCGTTGTACTAATTCAATTGAATATATTAAAGATAAATTATACTCAGGCAGCTACTGTAGAACTTTAACAAAGCTAATTTAATACGTTTGTCATTGAACCAGCTTTTAAAATAACCAAAATCTTTGTTTTAGTTTTAAAACACACACATGTATTTGTTTACAAAGAGCGTTGTTGTTGCCAAATGAAAAGCGATGTTCTCTTTTCACATGCGTAAGCATTTTGAATAAATACTCAAATGGTATCACAAAATAAACAAATAATAAATATCATAAACAAGGAAACTTTAGAACAACGTGAGACTGACAAATTAAAAAATAATATTTTTTTAATAACTACGTAAGCGATGATGCAATAACGATTGTAATAGAAAATAAATGTAAATAATGTAGTATAGCTCTGGTTGCCCATGGATATTGGCATTTACCAACTACATAGTTAGAAAAATCATGTATACAAGTAAATATAAATGATGGATAAACGTCCCTGGACACTATGGCAGACGAAGTATATAAAAAAAGGTAATATATACAAGAAGTTTAATTTAAATAAGTGGTAATCAAGAAAACCAAAAAATATTTATTATTTTTGCAATAATTGTGCAATATGGTACATAATTAATCAATATACATTACAGATTTACTCAACCGTTCAATGGAACAAATATCCTTAGTTACATAAACGGAATCAGAAGATAATTCTAGAATATATTGAATCTTAGTTAAGAAGTATGTGATTTGAATGGTAATGTTATTTTAGCCATATTAGTTGTTTTTTTTAATTAATTGGAACATAAAATTAGGACAAAGACTTGATATAACAAACAAAAGACACACCTACAGGAACATTTACAATATTAAAACGGTACCCATCCCTATAATAACGACCAGTTATATTTCAATGAAAAACACTCGTTATTGCTTTATCAATTGGGTATCTCAAAATATATGTACAAGTTTTGATTATAATAATGCTAATATTGTAGATAAATTAATTGATATAATTCAATTAATTAATGTATATTTTCGCGATTTTTTACCACATATAATGTTACAAACATTTTATTCAATATTTATGTTAGCATTATTTATTATGTTAACCATTACTATCTTCACGTTTACAAATGAATAAAAGGTCGCAATACTAGTTTTATTGTGCATCTTAAAAATTATTAAAAAAAAGTTTTTTTACCACTTAATACACATATATAATATTTGTATTTAATATAAGTATATTAATACGCAAATAATTTACAAGCTAGCTTAATGTATATACTATACATTCATAAAGTATAATTATTTTCTAACGAAATACTTATTTCTATTCACTTAATGTTAATGGAATATCCTTAATGAGAAAAAAATATCCCAAAACCAAATAAACGTAATAATAATAATGTCATAGTTATAACATGCTGGTCTTATTCCTCAAGAGCATCGTTGATTACTCTCAACAACGTCAAGTGGAGGTAATTGGAGATAGCACGGGTTAACAAATGGCAAAATCTTTGTCCATGCTTTTTATTGCTCGCTTCAATTGGCATTGAATATATTTAAATAAACTACTGAATATATTTTTTTAATGGAACAGGGGGCCAACGGCCAAGAGGCTCATCTGATGTGAGTGAGTGCGTTGCCGGTTTCGAGGATTGGTACACAAGATTTAAAGTTTTTAGCCATACGAAGGGCAGCCTTTGACTAATACCTGCAGCTGAGTTTCATTATCGGACGTCAAGGCAGAGTACAAAATACCATCCGTATCACCTCGACGTCCGTCGTTCCTCAACAGGGCGTTTATTAAGGTAGTTTTTGCCGCGCACCACCACTACGTGGAACCAGCTGCCCACTGAAGTATTTCCGAACCAATTTGACTTAGGGTCCTTCAAGAAATGAGCGTACCAATTCTTAAAAGGCCGGCAACGCACTTGCGTGCCTTCTGACAATGTATGACAATGGATGGCGTAGTCTTGCTCTTTCGTGAATTTTGTAAACGTTGTTGACATTCATAAGCATGCTCTAAGAAGCATCTAAATTGAATAAACGTATTTTGATTGATTTTGATTTGTGAGTGTCCATGGTATCACATAACATCAGGAGAGCCTTCTGCCCATTTGCCTCCAATTATATAAAAAAAAGCCTGACTATTTTTTATTTCATTCATTTGTTGAGTTTGCACTGTTAGTCCATTGAAATGTTACATTTTTTAGGCCTAACCTTGCGTTTTTTAGAGGACGCAATTTTATTTTTTTGATGTGTAGGGGGGGTCAGTGTAAAGCTAAAACCAAGTTTGTGGGGTCGCCACCCTTGTCCCACGGCCGCCATCTTGAAAATAGTGGTTGAAACGGTTTTTATGATATATCTCTTAAACTATTTATTTGATAAAAAAAATTTGTTAACATTTTTTGTTGCAAATTAAATTCTCTACAACTTTGGTCCAGTAACTTTTTATCGTAAAACTATAAATAAAAAAGTTATAAGCGAAAATCTTCAGAAATTCGAGAAAAAAATTTATATTTTTCGATATAACTTTTTTTTTAACATTTTACGAAAAAATAATATCAGACCTTTTTTGTAGATCGTTTTTTGGGGAACAACTTTTATTTGCATCATTTTTTCATTAAGTTAATAGCTAAGGTTTTACAGCGCTCCGATAGTCCA